GATTTCAGCATGAAAATGAGGTGCAGGCAGCTCAGGATACTATCCCTATAGATCCAGTGCTTTCTGCAGTAAGGCCGCGCGTACGAGCGCCACCGCAGTGTTCTAATTGTCATGTTCGAGGATATACTAGAGCTAGATGTCCTAAACCACTTAGTAATTAATTTACATATAGAAATGCAGCTGTTTTGGTGAAAAAGGCTCTAGTAATTGGCCCGCAGACGGAAATCGGTGGCGGGTGGCTATCCCGCTTGTGTGGCCATCCCGCTAGTGAAATACGTTATCGGAGGAGTCTGCGGCAGTGTAGATTTATAGTGGTCCTGAAAGACCCCGAAACTGGCGGCATAGTCCCAAGTCAGGGCTACGACTAAGTGACCGGAGACAACCTGAGTCCAGGCATGAAATCCACCGTCGGGAGTACGCCTGAGGTATCGCTGACAGGTGCATTTATTGATTTGGGGGTCGCTTTCTTCTCACGATTTACGGCTGCTTCAAGCTCATATTTTGCCACGGTAAATGAAATAAGTATGACCCAGCTTTGGTGCAGAGCAATGCCTCATAAAAATGGACAGAGAAAGGCAGAGGCAGAACAAAGGTTAGTCATCCCACATGAAACCATGATGATGCTTGTAGTTATGAACTTGATCATGATTTGTAGTCAGGACAGTTCTTAATATCGTACATTAATAGGTAGATGATATTATCTTAGTATGTGAGTACCATCAAGCCTTATCATCAACCACCTCCCCGCTTACTTTCCCCCCCCTTATCCTTCTTCACATTCTTGAACCCAACACCCCAAGCAAAGACAAACTGAGCAACAGACAACCCAACACCCAAATAAAACACCTGATCCACACTTTTCGCATACGCCGTCAAAACACCCGGTAAAACCCGCATAGACACCACATCCCAAAACCCTGTCGCACCAGCCGCAATCACTGTTTCCGGGTCCACAGCAGGAGCATATTGCGGAAGCTTTACCCGCAGCCCCTGGGCAAAGATGACCTGTCCAACAGCCAGGAAGATTGCGCCACCCAAAGTCTGGCTACAGGTCATAATAGCCAGTGCAGTTGAGACTTCGTCTGCTGTTACGGCGTTTTGGATCGCAATCATGGGCTGGTTTCTCTATTAGTCCTTGGATATTTTCTCCATCCTTGGATAGTTAGGGAGCAGACTTACTACCTGGGTTGCGGCGCCTCTACCGAATCCGACTAATGATTGGAATCCGGCCCAATTTGGGACCGAAGTATTCGGTGAGAGGGTTGATAGGAGGCCGTTGCCGACTGCGTTTAGCATTGCGCCGAGGACTCCCCATGGGAGATAGTAACCCAGCTTTCCGGCTTTTTGTGCCCATTAGCAAAACTGTTTTTTTTTTTTTTTTTTTTCAGATGTGAGGTATAAGAGATAGCTTACTTAGAAGACCTGATATAACGGCCATAACCAACTGACATAGTATATTCGGTAGTAAGTTGACCCCACTGACTAACGCTGACTTACCCCGAACAGACTGGAAGTAAATGGGCAGATAATATGACAAAATCATTGTCATACCGAAGATCATCATGGAGAACATACAACAGCAAACAACAATCCGGTCACGGAGTAGATACCCCGGGATCATTGCATCGCGGCCCATGTGGCGCTCCCATGCTATGAAGACTAGCAATGTTGCAACAGTGCCACAGAACAGTCCAATAACTGTAGCACTCTTCCAGGGGTATTGATTTCCGCCGTACTGTAATGCAAGGAGAAGTTGGATGCAGGCTGGAGCGAAAAGGACGAAGCCAACCCAGTCGAATTTGTAGAGAAGCATCGACCGGACTACTTCACTGGCTTTGTCCTTTGGTTTTTGTTCCGGGATGCGGGTGAATATGAGAAGGGCACCTACTAGAGCGCCGATTGGGAGGTTGATATAAAAGCCTTTCATTAATCATAGTCTCAGTATCCATTGGGTACTTCCGGGGGTGAGCTGTCACTCTAGACTTACACCATCGCCATGTTGAAGATGTCGTAAATGCACCCCCAATCAGAGGTCCAGAAACTAGCCCTAGCTGCGCGACTGTATGTGATTAGCGGTTGGACTGTTTGATTTGTGGAAATGAGAACATACTCCCCATGATGATTCCCATTAGTGTCGGCCGTTTATGCATTGGTACAGCAGCGGCGAGAATGTTCATGGCTCCGTTCAACATCCCTGAAGATCCCATTCCGGCTACTGCACGGCCGAGAATTAACATTTTTGAGGAATTGGCAACCCCGCATATTAATGAACCTATTTCAAACAGTGCGAAGAAGGAAAGGAATGTCCACTGCAGGCTAGTTAGTGCTATGGGATATGAGATAGTTCGGGAATAGACTGACCGACCTTTAATTGAAAATAGTTGTAAAATTTGCCCGTGAGAGGTTGGAGAGAGGCACTATAGCAGAAGCAGGGCCACTGCAATTAGCGATCATTATTTTTGCATGGAGGGAGTATTTCCAAGCCTACTGTACCTCGCGATTGTATACGCACTCCCATACCATGCCACGTCGTCGAGGGAGTGGAACTGGTTCGTGATCTGGGGGATGGCCTATGAAACAAGTTAGTCATTTGCTTTAAATCTTGATTATGCGTTATTCCATATGAGCAGTCGGCATACTGTTGAAACAATCGATATATCCAACAACATGAGAAAAACTACAACCGTGGTCCCGCTTATGGCCATAACTAGAGATACCCCTTCCAGCCATTCAGACCCATGTTTCTCAGATACTGCAATGCTTTCACTGAGCTCATTCTCTGGTTTGACTTGGGGTTTTAGATTCTCGTCGAGGGTGAATGATCGATTCTCCTCGCTCATCTTAATAGTCGTTGTCTTAGGACTCGAGATAACAGTGGAAGATTGGGTTTGTATCGTCAATTCTTTGGAATGTGACTGCACTTTGGAATATAAGAGATATAATAATATAATAACCACTGACAAAGAACAGTGCTGTGCGATGTATAGGCTTAGAAATTGGCTGTTACTGTAAATAATAATACCTGGATTAAATATCTCTCCATATCACCTCTGTTGACACGGAGTTGGGGCATTCCCGTACCCGTTTCCCGCTCCTGCTGCGCGAACTCCGTTGGGGTTCAAACGATGAGGTTTTCGGACATACTAAACGGATAGTGCTTATTTCTTGTTTAGTAAAACACTTTTCTACGTGCTTTGAAATTGTCAAGACCTGAGATTTATCCCTAGCTACAGACATTCTTGCTCGGTATGTGTAGTAGCATCAATCACCATAGATTGATTCGCTGATCATTTATTCATTAATTACATATCTAACTGAAACCCTCCGACCAATTCAGAAAGCTATCTAAATCCCACTGATTCATGTTGAAAATAGGCAGTTCCAATGTGGTGTCCATATCCACGGCTTCCAAATCCGAGAGTCTCGACGCCCATTCACCCCGTATTTTCAGCATCGTCATGCCCAACCTACCATACGGATCCTGAGGCTCCCCTTCACTATGAATCCCTACAACTTGCGCCACTTCATTCAGTCGATCAGCTAGTCGACCGGTAATAGATACGAGATCCAATGTGCTCCGAACAGTGGCTTGATCCCACCCAGGGTGATCGAAAGTCGATAGACGGAAGAGGGTTACAAGGCAGTGTGAGGTGTAAATTAAATCCGGCAAGGCGATGGAGGCAAGCTCCGCGATGGGAATATCTACCAATAGATTAAAGAAAGTTTTGACCGCGTTTAAACAAGCGTATAAGTGATCAAGTCGTTGCGGGTCCGTAAATTCTGTGTTCGTTGCTGGTTTGCTGAGGGCTGTCTCGTAGAGGCTGACCTCTGCATGAATGAGGTGGAAAAGGATGGACCCTATGACCAGGGTCAAATGAGTATAGATCAAATGAAACGTTATGGTTGGCCATTTTACTGTTTTCAGCTAGATCGTCAGGGATCTTAGACTTCAGAGTTTGTAACTGCGTCTGCATAGCTTTCATATGAAAAGATGCCGGTGCTCGGGAGGCGGTGTTGATATCATGGAGATTGTCATTCCAGGGCCCTTGTAAGATCATATCCGCAAGCAATCGTGTACGTGTAATTTGCACAAGCACAGTGTCATTAGGTGATTCGTCACCTTCGGCTAGAATATTGAGACATTCTTCCATATGAGGTGTCCATCGGAGTGGATCCATCCGTCCCAGGAATTGTGCTATCCTATTATCCTCGACAATCAGCAAAGTGAAGTCAGTCATCATTAGCTTACATAGGTCCAGGCTTACAAGGAACTGAGGACAAAACAGCCAAGCACGGCTCGCCGTTCATTCATTGTTCGTTTGGTTGAAAGCGACGCCTTTAGATCTGGCAAATGGCCCACTGCATTGCAATTTGAGGTCGCCATACATAAATCCGGGGGCGCTGGCTTGTTAAGGCCAAGCTCGAAGACCAATCCAATGGCTATCTGTGTATACATACAAAGAGACGACTTCTGCGGCTGAGTTAGGTATGTGACCCTACCAGACTGTGAGCTGCTAACTATCTCCAACATGGAAGGGGTAGTTTACCAGGCGAGATACACCAAGACTCCCTGTAGAAGGTCCAGATTCTTTGCACAGTCCACCAGCAGTCTCTTACCCGCTGCTTCACGAATACTGAGACATAGTTCTGATTGACGGGACGGACTTTTGCATTGGACGGCAACAATGCAGCGCCACAGAAAGGGAAACTGTTCCTTAAAATCCTTCACAGACATAGTGTCTGGAATATGTATAACTGGGAAAACTGGGAGCTTCTCATCACGGAAAGAGGCTAGACAAGCTTCTTCTTCCGAGTGGTGGTCTAGACCTGACCCAGATATCACATTCCCAAGCAGTCTTGCATCGCTGTTGGGGGACTCAGTTCCAGAAGTGACGATGTTTGTGTTCATGTTAGTCGCCGAATCAGACAGCAACTGGGGCTGGGGCTGGGGCTGTGACTGTCCCGTTGACGCCAATAAAGTCATCAAACCGTCTAGTTTTTGCTCCAACTGCGCTCTCTTCGAGAGCGGCTTCAGCTTTCGCTGTCTGACTGGCTGGGTGCATTCCTTCTTTAAGCGGTGACACCTATCCCAATTAAGACTGCTGTACGATGCGATTTATGAAATGTATAAGGACTCACCTCTCACAACTGCTTCCACCAGCTCGAGCAATACATTTGCATTTTGCGCGGGCGCAAGTGGCACAGGCACGTCCATAAGGTCCAATTTCACGATGAGCGGTGTTCATAATCGAATAGCGTTGAGTGGTACAATGAAGAAACGGGGTTGGGGGCGAGAAAGGGAAAAGACGCCGCCTGAGGAACGGCATTCGGGATCGGAGGGATTGAAATGTCCGGGACAACTACTGCCCTAGGCTGAGATACTAATATTCCCTGGTCAAATGACGGCTTACTAGCAGGGAAATGAGATCTTACAATTACTAAGCTTACGTCTCAGCAATTGATACTACCACTTAGAGTTAGCCAAAAGAAGACAGTCATATTTCAGTAACAAACTATATAGACATGTCAAGGCTTCCTCATTTTATTCCGAACGCATTGGTCGTATGCTTGCAATAATGTGCTATAGTAGTAATAGGAAAACGTAGTCTCAAAGGTATCATTTAATCAGCAACGTATTCAATCTTGGCCACTTTTTGTCGGCAACGTACATGGCCGTTTTCAACACTTAGGTCGCGAAAGAGCATGCAGGCAAGTATAGCCTAGAGTCTCTTTTTCTTGGCAGGTTGTAGGTAAGTAGACCGGAAAAACTATAGAAACATCCATGTCAAAGAAAGAATGAAAAAAATCCCGAGCCATGCCACAGAGGTATGGCCAGCCTTGTTCATACAACTAACTGTTCGTATGTCACAATATGACTGTCCATTAACGCCAGCATCTCTAGATGCCGGTGTGTCCAAAGAATCTCCCATTTTCCTGTTATTGGTGCAACGAACATAGTCCACAGAAACATCATAATAGACATAGAGGTAGCTTGGACCCACAATAAGGTCAATGAAGAACTGCACTATTTGGATGGCGGTCATTGCTGCCTTAGCTGATTGAGGCACTGCCACATGAATTGATATCAATGCATAATAGGTGTACTGCAACTTCTTCGTCAGTACCTTACCCCCGTTCAGGCTCTGGTAGATTTTATTGGAGCTTACCATAAGTGCATGGACACCTGCATTAAGGGAAAAAAAGGATTAATGCAGGTGGATATTCAAATCGGACTAACGCCCATGAGACAAGGATTACACCTGCATGGTGGTAGATATGGAGTAATGAAGCCTGTCGGCCTTTTGCAAGAATAATAGCAGTGTCGATAAATTCGTAAAACTTTGACATGTAAGATGTCCAGCCGATGAAGACGAACTCCTGGAGGGTTTCCCCACCAGGTACGATCTGCCCACCTCGACAGAATAGGTCTGCCACTAGAACTGTATAGAATGTGTCATGACTTCTGGGTTATGCGTTTTTGAATGATTGAGCAACCGTAAAAGCCCCAAAGAATGAATAAAAAGCTAGAAGAATATTATGTAGGATAACCGCTTGTCGGAACCACCTCATTTGGTTTATCACCCATGGCTTCCCGTGTCTCCTTCTGTTCATGTTATTCAAAAGTAATACAACAGTTGTATAGATGAAAATAGCAACGAGAGAGAACTTCAGGGGCAAGGTGATGGTGTAGAATGCTGTTGATATGCCGAGCCTTGCCAATTGGCGAGTTGGAATGGTCGGGTTTATTTGAGCCTGATTAAGGATGAAAAGGGATGACGGCAGAAAACCAAAGTGTACAGACATCTCGTAAGCTAGTTGTTCAGGATGCAATCAGAAAAGAGGTATGTCTGAAAATGAGAAGGGGGTAACTAAACTAGAGAATAAGGACAAATGCTGCGGTAAGGTCCTTGAACTGGAAAGCGTAGCCACTAGTGATATCTAGTCATTATATTTTCATCTTTGTTTATGAGAGGGGTCCTAGTATATATTGCACGCTTGGCCAATAATTTCCATGATTGGAGTAGGAAAAGAGGCCGGACAAATAGCCAAAGACTTTTTGTGCTTCTGTCCATTGCTTTGCGCCGATCCTCTTATGTGGGTCAAATTGTGTTGTTCCTGCAACACACATGCTCACCAACCGAAAACGTTACTCGGAACTGAGTTAGATACACTCGACATTATACGGACTTTCTCCTAGTTTGACGTAATAAAGTTGATTGGTTGAAAGCTGCAGTTGATATTCGTCTCGCTGGCTTCTCAGAAGTACTACCAGTGCAAATCCACTCAGAAACTCCTTTTTGTGGTTTTGTGCCTTGATCATATGGTGATTGTATAACATTCGACAAGTGCACAAATGTCTGTATCATTTAAGTGCTTCCCATACCACAGATATCACATTGTAACTGAGTTGAACAAGAAGGGTCCACCATTGTGAAAGAAAGTCCTCGTTCTCCGTTGGCTAGTGGTTGGTATCCTTCTTTTACCAAAGTTGCGATAGCCATAGAGAACATCAACCCATTACAATCCAACGAGACTGCGTCTGTAAGGTCTTACATGGCCCGGTTACGCATAATATTTATGCTCCGTCTGAACCTCCCAATTCAGTGCCTGATCTGGCCTGGACCACGAGACTGGCTTTTCTGTTAATGTGATAGATGTAATAAGATTGGATTGTGCCGGCGAATGGTTTTGCAATATGCACCAGGTACCCAACGGCGATAGTCCGACCATATACAGTGATAATGAACAGTTGACGCATCTGTACTGCGTGTAGTTCTACCCGCCGGGATATATATTTGCTGGCTTATCCTTCCGAGCGACCGATCAATAAACAGGCCACCCCAGTTAGGGCCAAACATTATGAAAATTAACAGCCAATTTAATGTCTGCGGGGCTATGGAGGATATCCGCCAGGCTAATTGATGGTCAAAGGGTACATGAACAGAGCGACACACTCTTTGCTTCAACTATAACCGCGCTTCCCCTGTGGCTAACGCCGCTTTCTGTCATTGCCAATGCATTGTGCATAGTAATGATTCGAAGTGGGTTCCGGATGGGTTGCCAAGATCATTGTACACTAATGTGGTTTGTCGGTCCTGAGTGTAAGTATGCTGAGAGACTGCGAAAGAATGGAGAATGTAGAAATCAACACCTTGGGTGCTCTTGGACTAAAGAGGATTTGATATGCGAACAGGCTAACTATGGTTTACATCACTATTACAAAAAGAGAGACGGTACTTAAGTGACGAGAAGGATGATATGGGTTGCGAAAACGACGAGGGTAGAGGTTGGGAGGTCCCGGGAAGAAGGTGCGGCGGGGAGGTTGGGGGGTGGGGGGTGGTTGTCCAGCACACCTATAAAGGTTCTAAGGCCCTAAGGCTGCAGCTGTGCGTCAGATGTTTGAGGTTGATTCACCGTCCTCTCTATCTTGTCTAATATTGGACACGGCATGATGCCGTACGAAAAGCCTTTATTTATTAGAGTAGGGTATCGTATACTGTAAATTAAAATCTATATGGGTAAAAAGTGCAAACGCCGTGTGTGAGTCGAACATTTAATATAAAAGCCGGGTATCATTAGATTGTTGCCATATCAGGGGGCTTCCCGTATGACGGGCCAACCATCGACATATCCCAGATAACTATATCCCAGTCGGGCTTCCTATTGAGACATTAGTAATGTGAAATGAAATGAGAGATCTAGAGATGGTTCGGGGACTCACCCAGAAATCATAGCTGATAGTTGTGTTTACTGTCCTGGTTAGCTTACCCCGGAAAGTCCATATTTGAGAAAAAGGACCCACAGTAATGATAATAGAGAATATCTCCAGTCTCCCCTGTTAAAATGCCCGGTCCTCCCGGTGCGTAAACGTCGTTGTTCGAGCCATAGATGAGCTCTCCTCCGCCATGGGTGAGCTCTTTCCCTTGCTTGTCTACGAACGGACCGTGAGGGCTCTCGGAGCGTCCAACGCGGATACTATATCTATGGTTTTGTTAGCATGACCCATTGTTGAAGCAGCACTAAGCGCTAAAGTGCCCATCGGGCATAGGGAGAGAGTCAAGGAACACGCTAGCGGGACTCACTCTTCACCTGATGGTGGAAGGTTGCTGGGATCATAATCGCAGCATTGGCCCCAGCTCAGCCAGAGATAGTAGTACGGTGCATGGTAAGAGATATAAGCACCCTCAACCGGGCGGCGACCGGCTGAATCCCGACAGAGCGGATTGGGGTTTTGGTTTTGTGACTTTACTCCCTGAGGCTGTGGATGCTTTGCTAGATGATGCGCATCAGATTCCGTTATGTTGCCGACCGAGATGAAGTCCTCATTCAATGGGACCTCCCATATTCCAGACCAATAGCTACCGAAGATCAAAAGACCTTTATCTCCAGTGACCAGAACTGCAGGGTCAATGGCATTGACTTCATCGAATGGATGCTCGTCCGAACCCTGTCCGGTGCCCGATTGGACAATAGCCCCGTGGTCTGTCCATCCACCTGGACCTGGTGATTGTGATGTAGCTACACCAATAGCGCTGTCGCGACACCCGGCGTTGCTGACTGAGTAATAACAATAGAAGACACCGTTGACTTCGATGGTTGTTGGAGCCCAGGGCTTCTCACGGTCACCTTTGGGGATGATGCTGTCCTTGTCCAGGACACTTCCGATCTGCTTCCACGGTCCGGCTAGACCAGATGCTTGATGAATAACAATGTGTTCTCCCACACCATAAGCATAGTAGACGCCACCAACATTGATGACAGTCGGGTCATGGATTTTTAGGTTGGTAGCTTGTGTATAGGGGGAAGATGAAGGACCAGAGCGCGGTATGCTCCTGCATAGAGAGACCGTGAAAAGGGAGAATAACGTCGTGACGAGGACCATCTTAATACAACCACGATTGGACAACTATTTACTATCAGGTCCGGGAGGGTTCAGGCTGGGTACGAGAGACAGTATGCTAATAAATGGAGCCCAGCAAGCTCCTGGTGGGCGGACAGGGAACTTGTCCCCATAATCCCCCTTTTTTTTTTCTTTTTTTTTTTCTTTTTTTTTTTCTCCTCTCTTCCTTTTCTTGGTGTGCGATAGATGAGGAAGTGTAGCAGCGGAATCTAGCACATAGCCTCTCAGGGTCGCCCAACTGCCCTCAGGGGCGCAGCATCCCTAGTCTAGAATAGACGGATCAGCAGCAGTTTACTCCGATCGGAAACTGCTGAGTGAATATTCGGTAATGCGAAACTCCGTTCCCAAACACCCTGGGTCAAGCTTCCAAGACAATAAACAGACTATATGCACTGTGTGGGCCCTTGGCGCAAGAAATGCAGCCGCAACCGGTAGTGGATGGCTCCAAGGGAGACCAAATTTTAGACACCGTTGGAAGTGTCTAGGTTCCTGTCGATCCTATAGTTCGTGGATACACAAGGGATACGTTCATCCTTCCATAACAGATCGACGCGGATGATCGCCACGGGTAACCTGGATTAGTATCATAAGCACTCCGTAGTACGGGATATCTTACCGAAATGTTCATCCGTTGTAACTCTTGCGTAATCTCTGGGAGGAAAGGAGGAAACCGACAAAAAAAGACATTACGACATCACTCGAATGATTGCAGAAGGACGATGCACTTAACTAATAGTACCCGGTAGCGTCGGAATTGGTGATCGCCGAGAGTTTCGACGTTCGCATAAGGGATGTTTATTCCATTGTTGCCTCGAGAAGTGGAGCCACCTCCTCTCTAACGAACCTCAAAAAGTTGACTCATCCATTGACGCGCACTGCTTTCCGGACACATAAGAGCTGCAGCTTTATCTAGTAAATGGTCCGAAGATCGTTATGGGTGGGTACCTGAACTGGAGAGATAAACGTAGTTGAGGTTCCATACGGGACGCAACCGTGGAAATAAACAGGGCAACGTTCAACGTGTGCGGGACTCAACTCTTCCTATGCGACAACGCCCGCGTTAACAAACAGTAAGATAACATATACAATATCTATCGCTTCAAAATCTACTGTAGGTTGGCCGGGGATGGATCAATATGGTTACATTTGACAACATCGCCTCCGAAGGATGACTGATCTGCAAGGTGATCAACGGATTATCGGCCGATCTAAAATAGTGGACAATCATTGCGCCCAATCTCAATCAATCATACATCATGATAGAGCTCATGAAACATATAATTAGAAATCCACCAACGCCGAGTAGTCGCACCTTCTGAGTGTGATTACCGGGGGAACAAAAGGCCCGATGTAATAATCAAAGCCATAACCTTGTACATCACAAGGAATTAGCGGACGACGATCTTGTCCACTTCATCCTTCGCCTCGGTCCATGTCTCCAGGTTTTTCCGGGCCCAATCCAAATGGCATCGGGCATATGCGACCTACAGAAAATATCTCAATATTAGCGTTTCCCCCAACCATATTTTGCACTCATCACGGCTTACCATGTAACGTCGCAGATCACCCTCCTTATCCTTTTGGAACCGCTTCAAATCCTGCAAAACACCTGCGCTAGCGTCTTTCACGTCCTTTTCTGAAACTTCCAGTGCTTGTTCCAACTGTGCATAATATGTTAGCGAAGTAGATATAGGGGAAGGGGGCAAAAGTTTTGAGAGGCCAAAGACAGTGGGGTTAAACTAACCTGGAGCAAACTCTCTCTTGTTTTCCCAATCTGATCTCGTCGCGTCCTCTCCGGGTCAACATCAACAAACCCGTGGACTGCGTGGCTAATACGCCCAAACAGCTTGTTCGTCATGAAGGTCCCGCTGGCTGACTTGCGATGTGCTGGAGAAGAGGATGTCTCGGGTCTCCTTGGTGGAGAAGCTGGGGTTAACGGCGCCTGCGAGCCGATCGACTCCCCATGAGTAGGAGGAAAGTCTGAATCGATAGCGGTAGTGTCTTCCGGACCGCCGGGGCGCATATCTGTTGCATGACTCCCCGCGCCGCTGGTAGCCGACGATGTAGATAGGGAGCGTTGCGATCTCGTCCCTGATCCTTGAGGTGACGTCCGATTCAGGTACTGTTCAATACGCTTCGCTTCCAACTCGCTCCGTTCCAGAGAATCAAGCAAGGTCTTCTTCTTGGCTAACTCGTCCCTTGTCATTTCTTCCTGCACCCGCTTTAGCACCCGGTAACGTAGGACACTACGAACAATGCTAGCGAACTGCGCGCTTTCCCTCATAGGCTCTGCAAAGCTTGCGCTTAATGCATTGGAGAGCTCCTCAGTTTCGATGTAAGATGTGTCTGCTGCCTGGCCAATTCGCTCAATCGCTGCGGCTACTGTGGGTGATTGTTCGGATAGAGAGAAGCCATTGTATCGTGCTCCAAGCTCCATGAGGTCTGCTGACAACGAAGAAAGATGCGCTAGTGTTCGACGATTGACTTTCTCAATATTTCCTTGCAGTAGTAGCTCAAGCTCCCGTGTAGATGCCTCGAAGTTGATGAAATACGGGTCCAACTCTTGCTCGCTCAATTTGCGGGATTCCGGAGGGAAACGCCCTAAAACATCGGAGCTCGGCGCATCCGCGGGGGGAGGCGCAGCTGAAGCTGTAGGGCCGGAAGTGCCCTTGAGCTTCGCGGAAGAAGATGGCACCGGTAGCCAAGCGTGTGCGGCTGTGGGATTGGCGGGGTCAAGGGGAGGTGCTTTCAAATTGTTCTTGGGGACCGAGGATGCGGGGTGGGAATGAAGGACCTCACTCTATATATAAATTAGCATCTACCATCGAGCTCGTAGGTGGTCGCTGAATACATACCCAGCTAACATTAGGGTCTAGAAACCTCCACCAAACGCCGTCCTCACGGACTTCTTTCATTCGACGACAGCGGTTCAAGAAGACAGCCAGCATTCGCTTTCGGAGCTCAATTATTGCGGTATCCTCCTTAGCTTTGGTAGGCTTGGCGGCATAATCGGCCATTGTATGTTTCTCAGGGATAGGCGGAATGACGAGTGTGGGATGGAGGTTCACGAGAGTCTGTCGCAGGGAGGCGAACTCAGAGTACCGTCGCCGGACTTCCAGATCCTGCATACGTTAGTCGAATCCATAGGCACTCTCCTAGCTGCAGCACCACATACTCCAGTTCGTATAGTGTACACAATAAAGCTTCCACCACCCTCGTGGTTCTTCCCGGCATCGGTGATGAGGATCGGCATCTCCGGGTTCTCACAGAGTATCTGTTCTATGCGGCTATCATAAGCGCTCTTCCGGTAGAAGCCATGGCCGGCGGGCTGGTTGTCATATCCTTCATTTTCATCATCGCTAAAATCCTGCGGATGTGAAAGGTAATCGTCGGTCGGATCCTGGGTTGACGCCTTGCTGGAGGGAGAGGGAGGAGTGTATTCGCGTTCGTAGAGAGCTTGCAAAGGTTAGACTGCGAGCCAATGATTTGAGCAGTGAGCCTCACTTGGAGAAAGATTCGCCGAATGTAAGGATTCGGAGAGACGGGCTTCGGGATCGAATGCGCCGTATGGGTTGTTATCCTCGTCGTTCCACATGGTGCTGGGAGACCGGAGGCTGGGCGAAGCAGCCCTGGCAAACTAAGAATCCGAGGTGACCGAACAACTCATAAACCGTAACCTCCCAGTCGTAGGAATAGCTATACAGGGGGTCAAGTTAAGGTACTACTAAATCCAAGCCGTGGTAGAGAGAGGAAGCAGTGGGATGGCTGAGCTCAAGGCATCAATAGCTGGAACCGAATGTCACCGCCCGCAACAATTCGCGGGGATTCAACGTCACTGACTCCGGGGAACCACAGGAACCAAAACTGTCATTCTTATCGGGAGTGGCTTAACGCGCTAGTCCTGTTTCGGCGCTCCACCTTTCTTCGAATAGAAATGGCCTTAGTTCAAATTTGATGATGTACACACATAGTACTTACAATCACGCAGCACATCCTGTGATTTCTCTTCATTTCTGAGTATAAAATTATTTACTCGATACCAAGGAGCTGAGTACAGTGCAATGCAACCTCTATAAGATGCATGCGTACCCTAATAGCTCTAAAGAGCATTGTTTCGACAGAGAACAATTGGAATGTTGTACATACTGCCCCCGTCAAGCAAGGGCCCATAATCATGATATGGAAGATTTTACACAGTACTTGCAGGTGACATCATGCCTCGGGCCGTCGTGACCCAGCGAACCTCATTTTACGCTAGTGCTCTCTTTTGCCCGCTCCCAATGCAAAGCGATCCGTTGAAGTTGTGATGAGAAGTTCAGTTGGTACATAACTATATTTATAGTATTTACGTGCGGAGGGATGACTCAAGAAAACATTCCGCACGTGTGATATACCTTACCTGTATACAGAATTGTAACGTTATTGGAAACTCGATCCAGTAGAATGACTTTCAGAGATGATTTGCCCATTACTCTGTTTGGACTTAGAGGACGAGGCTGTTTAAGATGGCGCGGTTTTGTGGAGGGGGCGGATTTCATGAAGGCCGACTGATACAACATAACCCTTGTAACAATAACTTACAACTCGGGAACCTCTTCACCTTTCTCATCTCTCCACTCACCATCATCGGAATGAGGATACGCTGGATATTCACGGTCGCATTATTCCTTGGCCCATTGGCCTTTGGATCAATAGCAGTGGCGAAGCTGATTATCGACACGGATCTGTTTAGTGATGTTGAGTAAGCTTTTTGTTGAGGTCTTAGGCTGATATTCCCCGCCCGTTGCTTATTCTCTCCTCAGCGATGCAGCCGCTCTTTTAGTGGCCTGTGGCCATCCGATAGCCGCACCAATAGGCGTCATGATCAATTATCCGTCCATTTACAGTGCCTTGGCTGCCTCCAGTATCCTCGGGTACTATTGCTCCTCTGACGTTCCAGTGGGCCTTAAACGACCATATTCCAACGAAACGTTCTTCGACACCTGGTCATACCAACTTGGAGAATATGCAAGCAAAGTTGCATACAACTGGCGACATAGTGCATTGATACCATGGGGAGACGTCAGCAGTGCGTGGTATCCAGTCGAGCTGTATCGCAAGCTCTTATCGGAAGCGGATGATCACAGTGTGACAATTGCCAGCATTGGATTCCTCGACAATGTGAGTACTTCGCCAATGCCCATTGCCTGAAGTAATGTCTTATGTATTTCCTAGCTCTCTGAGCTTCTTTCATCTCCGGGTGATATATACTCACCACTCTCGGGGCATGACCTGGTAAAGGCCAAGGTGGAAGAGCTTGTCATCATGGGCGGAGCATACCCATGCGGATATGAGTACAATTTCTACGGCAACAATTCTACCGCAACTGCTCATGTGGTAAACACTTGGCCGGGGCCCATGACATTTTCTGGGAGTGAACTTGGGGTGACCGTCTACTCGGGGGCACGGTTGACCGTAGAGGGACCTGTTGGTGATCCAGTCAAAGCAGCCTATCGCTGGTACACGTATGTAGCCTCCTGTCCCACAAATGCGATCACCTCTAACTGCTACTACAGCGGATACAACACGTCTCGGAGTTCATGGGATCCCCTTACTGTGCTTTATGCCATCGAGGGAAGAGGTAAGATGTTTGCATATGCAGATGAAAGAGGACATAACTATGTTTACCCAGACGGTAGAAATGAATGGCTGCCGGGTAACCCTTTGTATCCGCAGAGATACCTGAAGCTGCGAATGTCTGAAACACAAGCTGGCGACTTTTTGGACGATTTTTACCTTGACACGGCGAAAAGAGCTGCACGGAGGTAATAAGCAATTGCTTGTTGAGAACTGTTTGTTTGGAAAGACGCAGCTCAACTGCCACTAACACGACAATTCACATCGTTGGTAATTGCCCTGGTCAATCAAGTTTGGGATCAATGAACGGAGCGAAAATTGCCAACTGACATAGGCTTAATCAACCAAAGCTAATCGCCTTCTTGTAGAGTAGGAAGCATTACAGGAGAAACGTTCATTTCAACTTGATGGTTGCCTGCTTGGTCCAATCTGTCTCAAAGTCGACTTGTATTGCTTCGAATGGCCACGTGCTTGCATAGCTATATAGGGCCCACACATCTTGGTCGTACTCTGTAGGAAAATGCGGATAGCCTTTCTACTAGAACTTCGGCCCCCACATGCCTGGTATCCGGGTATTGTGAAAGGTTGTACGGAGTAGACTAGGTTGTTCTCCAGCGGGTAAATATAGGTAAACATGTTGTAGTCTCTTTGGAAATAAATCTTCGAGGCTTGAAGGGTAGCGGGCTAATACCACAACATGTGTGCCTAGTCTCAGGGTAAGACCGAGTAATGACCATGTTACCGTTCAATTTGGCTACATATGAAGTGAGAGTCGTGCAAAACGCAGTCAACAACACCTGCGAGTGTAGTAAGGCACACAATAACTATGTAGAGTCTGTGCGTTGTAATCTTATGTGGATCGGGGATACATAATTTGCATTTGCACGGCCCTAGACGACTGAGCTGGTATATGTTAGATGAAATTTCTCCCTGAGATGAATACTGATCAGGTGAGGTATAATAATCTATTAAATTTTCTGTAAATTAGGACGCTAACGAGTCAAACAATCGCAATGACGAGGTAAAGACTGAAGAATTGTCAGCCCTGTTGCTTGGACTGCTTCTGATCAATCAGATAGCATGCTGACAGGAGCTTAGCGAAAGGGAATTTAGGCAACGACATCAAATTCCAACACCAACCAAGACAGGGTCAGTGACCGATATTGATCTAGGTAGTTTAATTTATCCATGTATCATATGTAGGATCTGGTCTCCATAATATGGACACAAATCCAGAAATCCCGCCAATCGCGCAACGTAGCCTTATTGCATGGCATTTGCAGGGTGAGTCCGGCACTGGTCGGAACATATATCTGGATACTGTTTTTCCGGGCCTTGAGTTGAAGTGGAAGTGATCGGCTCAGGGGTTGAATATTATTGACGGGGGCCAAGATTACGTAGGTTTAGCGGAGACTCGGTCCGATCACGACAGAGGGTCCGGCAAGGCTGTCCCGTTTCATACCCTCCAGGATTACTGTTCCAATCGCTGGCTCATATCTGTATTTTCGACCTTCCAAATGTTGCATCCTGTATGTTTCATCGCCATTTTTGTCAATTGTACACAGTGTAGATAGCCTCAAAGGATAGAAATATAACAGATCAATGCTAAGATAACCTTAGGTAGAACGTAGAATGAATTGTCAGTGCCGATTGGCCGATGAAATCGCAGCTAAGCTTTTTTTGCACGCGAACCGGAAGCTTAGCCCTAGACTCAAGCCACTTGTTTCAATCTCAGACACTTTCTTCGGGATCCCGCTTCAACTGAGATACCCTTCTCCACCGGGCTGTATTGCAAGATACTCCGTAGAAAGGGGATATAAAAGGAGCCTTGGACCCCTACGATGTTTGCCTTTCTCTCAGCATCGTCTCCCTCAGTTCCTCCATTCCTTAATCTTTCTTTCATTCTATTCCTGAAGGCGTCTTGTTGATCAAGTCCCTATCCATTCTTTCGGAAAAAAATGCAGCTTCTCCAGTCTTCCGTCCTTGCCGCTACTGTTGGCGCTGCGCTGGTCGCCGCAGTCCCAGTACCTGAGCTTGAAGCCCGCGACTCTTGTACTTTCACCTCGGCTGCTGACGCCAAGTCGGGCAAGGCCTCTTGCTCGACCATCACTCTTAGCAACATCGAGGTTCCCGCTGGTGAAACCCTTGACCTGACGGACCTCAATGAGGGTACTACTGTATGCATAGATGCTTAACTACATGCCGTTGTCGTTAGTATGTACTAAGTCATGCCTAGGTCATCTTCTCTGGTGAAACTACCTTCGGCTACAAGGAGTGGGAGGGCCCTCTCATTTCCGTGTCCGGAACCAACATCAAGGTCCAACAGGAATCCGGTGCCAAGATTGACGGAGACGGAGCCCGCTGGTGGGATGGAAAGGGTGGCAATGGTGGAAAGACCAAGCCCAAGTTCTTCTCTGCCCACAAGCTGGACTCCTCTTCTATCACCGGCCTCAAGATCTACAACACCCCCGTCCAGGGCTTCAGCATCCAGTCGGACAACCTGAACATCACTGATGTGACCATCGATAACTCCGCTGGTACCGACCAGGGCCACAACACCGATGCCTTCGATGTCGGCTCTAGCACCTACATCACCATTGACGGTGCCACCGTGTACAACCAGGATGACTGTCTTGCCATTAACTCTGGATCGGTAAGATAACCTCACTCCAGTTGAAACCTCTCCAGTCCTTTCTAAATCTCATTCTTTGGCCACTTGCTAATACACCTGCAGCACATCACTTTCACCAACGGCTACTGTGACGGTGGTCACGGTCTCTCCATCGGTTCCGTCGGTGGTCGTAGCGACAACACCGTCGAAGACGTGACCATCTCCAACTCTAAGGTTGTCAACTCCCAGAACGGTGTCCGTATCAAGACCGTCTACGATGCCACCGGCACTGTCTCCAACGTCAAGTTCCAGGATATCACCCTTTCCGGTATTACCAAGTACGGACTCATCGTTGAGCAGGATTACGAGAATGGCAGCCCCACTGGTACCCCTACCAACGGTATCAAGGTATCAGACATCACCTTCGAGAAGGTTACTGGTACCGTCGAGAGCGACGCTACTGATATCTACATTCTCTGTGGATCTGGCAGCTGCACTGACTGGACCTGGTCTGGTGTCTCCATCACCGGTGGTAAGACTAGCTCCAAGTGCGAGAACGTTCCTACTGGCGCTTCTTGTTAAATACCGAAGCTCGCGGGGAGATTAGCTTGCGCTGTTAATAGTTATCGTTCTTGGTCTTATTGCTTCGCTATTTGTGGCACTGGCTGTTTAATCTAACTTTACACGACTATTAAGCAATTCAATTCTTTATATGTTGTGTTTAACGCAACTTACTATCTTTTACCGTTTACTCTAAAAGACAAAACCAGCGGTAGCAAATAAATAAAATATGTATAATTAAAAAAAGAACAAAGAAAGAAAGAAAGAAAGAAAAAAGAATAACAAGACCTACATAGCCTTTTCAGTACTAGTGTGCCTAGTTTGACGTTCACAAGGGGTTCATTCACACTCTTCGTGAACGTAACCAAGTTCGGTCCACTTTTTAAGGCATGGAATGAAAGCTTGGTCCCGCTTAGGCGCTGGGGAGCTCCTTGACTGCTTGGCACGCCCCACCTCTTCCTGAGAATTGTCAGTTACCCAAACTTGAACATAACCAGTTGCCGTTCCAGTTTATTCAGTTTCAAAGATTAAATTGTCACTAAATCGAATACAGAGTTCACTCACCAGGTTGCGACACCAACCTTGGCCAGTGTCACCGGCGATCGCCCCTCGACTTGATGTACATCGGCGCTTCGAAGAGGAAAACGCGCCATTTTATGATCCGATCCGTTTCTACCCTGCAAAAATTGGCAGTGTCTTAAACGGCAGATATCAACTGGTGACAAAAGTTGGCTATGGTACCAGTTCGACGATATGGCTTGCTTGAGACCTAAACCAGTTTGTCTCCGCTCCCATGGGTCAGTTATGACTGATTTGATTAGATGGCGCTGGTTACGCGATAAGTATGTAGCTATCAAGATAAACACTAGTACCCATCATTCGCGAGAGAATGCAGCTCAAAATGGGCTTTGATATTCTAAGGGAAATCAACGAGAAAACCCGTCAACATAAAGGACGACTATTCAACGGACACCTCCTCGATTCATTTTATGTGGAGAATGGTTCAAGGAAGCACCTAGCACTTGCTTTTGAGCCTTTACGTGAGCCTCTATGGCTATACAGAGAAAGGTTTGTTGAGCATGTTATTCCTTCTAGTGTACTGAAGATTATTCTTCAGATGATTCTCCACGGATTGGGATTATCTCCACACTCTGAGTGTCACATCATTCATACCGGTTAGCCTCTGGATAGGTATACCTACAACAAAGTGGAGACACACTAACCTCGGTCAGACTTGAAACCAGATAACATAATGGTCAAAATCGAAGACCCATCCATCCTTGAGGATTCTGCCAAACATGAATATACAAAGCTTTTCAAGGATGTCGATCCTCTCCGTGACCAAGAATATAATGAGCCGAACCACCTTGCACACATAGAGTCACTGTTAGGATCTCCTCCGAAAGATATCTTGGCTAGAGGAAAAGGATCAGGACTATTCTATACATCCGATGGTAAGCATCGTCATACCATTTGTACAGTCTCCGTAATCCCATGTCGATATGATCTAATAGGGACCCTGAGAAGTGGAGCTTGTGCGCCGGCAACATTCAAGTTTGAAAGTCTAATCGGAAATATACCACGGTGATGACAAAACTATGTTCATTGAATTTGTGAGGATAATGATTAAATAGCGCCCAGAGGAACGCAGCACCGCAAAGGCATTGCTAGAGGATCCTTGGCTTTACGCGGAGTTTGACGATGACTGAGCTAGCCCGTTCATTATCTCTTAACAGTGTACTTTCCACTACAGACTGTTTTTTGTGCGTTACAGGAGTACCGGTCACTTTCTATTCGTCGGGACCTTATGCTTCGATCTGTGTCAACTGAGCCAGTTATGTTGACATCAAGGCCGGGTGACTGAAAGTAGCAGGTCTTAATGCGATACAGGGTTTCACAGAAGCAATCAGATTCAGCTAATGATGCATTTGCCATAGTCCATCACGGACGCTTGTAACATCGCTATAGCTATTTCAAAGCCTCGATGCTAAGCCACTAGTTACACATTCCTAGACCACCTTCCCCCGAATACTTATCAAAACCCCCTAGACAGAAACGCGGCCGATCACTTCAGTACCTAAAGTCACGAGCGTGCTCACGGTGGCCGAAGGTACCCTCGGAAGTAGCATCGGCAGCATTGACGTTAACCGCCTTTGAGAAGGACTTAGATCCCGACGCACCACTCCAGATTTCGGGGCCAGGCATAGGATACTCCTTGTACCCACCATAGATGCTGAAGTGGAACGAGGGGTCATCTTTCTTGTAAGCACCGGGGAACTTGACAGTAGGACCAGGGCGTCCATTTCCACCACCGACAACCTTGACTTGAGCGCAGCTGAAAGGCTCTGTTAGAATCCCCCGAGAACAATGACTGAAATTATGAATAGTGTACTTACCCGTAATAGAACTCCGCCTCACCAGCATGTGCTCCATGAACACCTAATCCAAGAGTCAGCACCCCTTTCTTACAAACACAACAACGCAGAAGACCTACCAATGTGCTCGGACCGAATAAGATACTCCCCATCAGGGAGATCCGCAGGAATTGTAAACTCGACGCGATCTTTAGCCCAAGAGCACCAGGCGTCACTTTTCAAGTCCTTGTTCTTGTCGCAGACGCCTTCCTCATAGATCTTGAACCAGTCGCCATCGCCCTGATATGTCTTAGCCGTGCTAGGTGCTTTGGACATATACACCAGCGCAGGGCCAGGATGCTTCATAGTAGCACCAACACCAAGCTTCAGGGCAAGCTTGGAACCCGCCTTGACCTCCGCCGTGCCAGTTTGACCCGCGAAGGTGAAGGCACCCTTGTTGCAGCGGAAGTCAGGCATATCAGGGGTCATGTTGTCGCGGGTGTTGACCCATTTAGTTGGGTTGTATTTGGCAGCCCGGGTGTTGGAGCGGACATACTGGTTCGGGGAGCTTTCCTGGCCGTCGATGATCAGGGTGTCGAAGAAGTAATGAGCCGAGACAAACGGTGCGATGGCCGCAATGGCGAGAAGAGAGAGCTTCATTTTTGGAAGTTGAAAAGAGAAGTTAATGAATGAATAAGGGACCGGCCCAAGCGAAGTGATACTATTCTGATAGAAATGAGCGGAAGAAATAGACACGCAGTGACTCTTGTTGAGGTTATGGATAGGAAGATTTATTCGTTCTTATATATCTTTTTGGATGCGGGATTTCTCGCGCCAGGTGCACATCCTGACCTCTGGGAGCTACATGACACCGATGTGTGTGTGCGACATTTCTTGATTACATTCAGACTCCGTTCTGTTAGTGAAGCCTTCCGTCTCTATATCAGAAACAATGCCAAGACTATATAGTTAGGTTTGGAGGCTATCTTGTGCTTAACTGTAGGCCGTGTCTCAGATCAGCGGGGATGCTAGTTTTTCAACAGCTCAGTGGATCGAATGATTTAATATTGTTATTGCCTGATTGGCTTTATTCAGGACGTTATCTTGCTGGGTTCTTCATTCTATTCTTAGTCCTTCACGTACGTAATGTGGATCTGCTCTTTTGCCTCATAGGGCCATCACAAGCGGTAAGAAAGTGGGCCTCTACGCCACAGCTTAATGCACAAGGCTGGCCGTGATATTAGGTGAGGCATTAATGGAAGTGCTAGGGCGATGGCCAGTTAATTATATCAGTCATAGATTGCTTGTTACGGCTACCTGGAAGACTCTGAAAATCGTCAATCCGATCTCCAGAAACCTAATGGTTTTAAGACTATGTTTTGGCTCCCCCAACGGACGAGGAGCAATATAAGAACGGGAACCGATGGCAAAAGCAGAGGATCTGCTGTATGTTGACACAATCAGCGAAATTAAGGGATTGATGTCTTCCAACTATAGGCTGTCAAATGGGCGCTTATACGATACTAGGTTATAGTTTGGTTACATCGTCCCTGTGAATCCACGCTGATCGTTGAGCTAGGCCACAAGGGCTTTGACGCCAAGCAACATCGCACAGGGTCCAGAAAGCGCCAGAGTATCTGACTGAACCTAGAACGCCTTACCAAGCCCTTACTAAGAATCGTATTGACCCCACAAGGGGTAGGCTAGTCTCCACCCAGCAAATTCAGTTTCAACTGCAACTACCAAATAGGGTAATCGGTGATACAAACCTCGGCAGTATCCAAAATACTCTAATTGCCGGGGAATCTTGGCATGCCAGCCTAGTTGGCTTTCGTTGTACGTTGGGGCGTCATATTTGTCGCTGCCTGCAAATCGGAAGGTCCTGGCTAAATTCACCGACACTCTGTCACGGAGATTGTTGCAGAGTGCATCCTATAGCGCAGGAGAATAGCCTAATCAGGAATGTCTCTATCCATTCCCCGCTTGTTGGACCCTAAATCTGATAATCTCGTGAAGATGCCAAAGTTGATTGTTACACCTTCTGCACTATTTTGACCCCAACACCAAGTGGTCCGGTGGGTGACAAGTTCCGTCTCTTGGCAGTCATTTTAACCAGACAGGCTGATCCGACTGGCCCTGAGACACCCCCGTTTCCTTTACGGAAGATATCAGACGAGGGCCTCAGACGAAGATGTCAAGGTTGCGTGTATCACGCCAGGTCCGGGCGGCGCACGGCTGAAGGAAGGTGATACCGGACTTCCTTCCCAAAGCAACATCATCCAGAGCTCCGTTTTGCTGCAGGAAGGGATCTTCGAGGAATCATGTCGGTGGCTGAATCATTCGACAATATTGCAGCCTACAAATACAAGGCAATGATTATAAAACCCACCATTAGCTTCTGAAAAGTCTCAGTTGCACAGTGAGTATTATTACAACTCTTCGATCTGAGCGAGCCCACATCAATCACTATCGCGTTTATTCGTCAGTTAAGATGTTTAAATCCATCTTTCTCCAGACTGTCCTGGCCCTAAGCACCCTTACCTCAGTCCACGGTGCCAATTCCTCCGGCTGCGGCAAACAGCCCACTCTTGCCAATGGAGTCCAGAGAATCAACGACCGCGAGTACATCATCAAGATTCCTGACAACTATAATGCCAACAAACCGCATCATCTCATCTTCGGTCTCCACTGGCGTGGTGGAAACATGAACTCCGTGGTGAATGGCGAAGGCGTCGAGCCGTGGTACGGCCTCGAAACTCGAGCACAGGGCAGCGCAATCTTGGTAGCTCCGAACGGCAGGAACGCTGGCTGGGCCAACGCCAACGGCGAAGATGTAGCCCTCATCGACGCCATTATAAAACAAGTTGAGGATGACCTCTGCATCGACCAGAGCTCTCGTTTCGCGACAGGGTTCAGTTGGGGTGGCGGAATGAGCTATGCGCTTGCTTGTGCACGGGCAAAAGAGTTCAGGGCTGTGAGCGTGTTGAGTGGTGGCCTGATTAGTGGGTGCGATGGAGGAAATGATCCTATTGCTTATCTGGGTATTCATGGAATTAGTGACCCGGTTCTGCCATTTGACGGGGGCGTGACTCTGGCGAATAAGTTTGTTGCGAATAACGGGTGCCAGCCTGCGTACGTTGGTAGGCCCGGATCTGGGAGTCACAGTTCGGTCCGAACGGATTTTCAGGGGTGCTCTAAGCCTGTTTCGTTTATTGCTTATGATGGTGGGCATGATGCTGCACCTCTTGGTGTTGGTAATCCGCTGGCTCCAGATGCCACGTGGAAGTTTTTCATGGCTGCTTGAGTATAGAATCGGCGTTTGATATGGAGTAGGTCTGGTCCATGGCATGATGACTGAATGTGCGGCCCTTGCTAGGCAGCTATTGACTGTGTAAGCATCGAGGAATATCTATTCATAAGCGGTCAGGCTAGAACAATGAACAATTATTAATGTCGGGACCATTGGGATTAATATGTATGCACATAGTCATAATCATGTATGACCGCCAGTGCTTCCAAGATTCGTCTTGCGACATATTTCACTTCCGGCTTTGTCAGTTCCTGAGTGACCGAGGCATTCATGAGATTACCATCTAGATGTTTTAGCACCCTTGCTAGTGGATCGGACGGCTCCAGGATCTCATTAATAAGTGGTCGTATGAAAGGGGCATGGCGTTGAAAGCGCATCAAGACATTCCTTTCGCTTTGAAGGCGAGATTGATGAGCACTTTTCACGATTACTGGCTGATGCACATCATTCCTGTTTAGATTTCACCGTAAATTGAGTCAGGTCCACTGAAGTTTGGGGGCTTCGTACCTAGCAAGCCAAGCCGTTTCCCCGAGCTGCGTCGCGAGCGTGCATATTCCGTGCTGGCCTCTCAAGGATTGTCCCCAATCTGAGCGAGGACATAAAGTATTAAACTCTTGAGTAAATAGAATTAGAAACAAGGTTATCTTGAGTTAAAGTAAATTCAGTAAAGTGGGGGAGAGAGAAATCCATCGTTGAAGTAAGGCTGGGAAACAACGTAGTGGAGAAAGAGGCCCACCATGTAAGCAGCGTGCTCTAGCGGATATTCACCTGCGACGGGCGTAACTCCGAAATATCTCGCTAAACTCCGCTTTGCTTACCGACTTCTATTAACCCTGGAGTATTCAAGATTTTGCGTGATCGCATGCCTCTTAACATTTATTGAATGCCCCCGTAATCGCGGACTCTGGCGCCCTATCTCCATACTTCAGTCGCGGTTCCAAATTCTATATAAATGCTAGCCGGCCCTATGCATTAGACGAGAGGCATTGCCGCATTATATCCATCGGAGAAAGGAACTCTTTCATCACAACATGTTTGTATATATCATATCTTTTTATATCTACTTGTCTTTGGCCCTTGCGGTCCCGACATCTCTTTCACCACGTCTGAGAGATGTGTATCAATTTCCGAACGGTACCTGGCTGGAGAATATAGCCGTCCGCTCTAATGGCAATGTTCTCGTCACGGCATTCAACAAGGCACAGCTGTGGGAAATCAACCCATTCAACGGAACTAATTCCCGTCATGCGCGTCTGATCCACCAGTTTCAATATCCCGGTACACTCACCGGTATCACAGAGATCGACCAAGATGTCTTTGTGACAATCGCTTCGAACTCTCTCTGCAAGGTCGATCTGAGAATGCCAGAGCCGGTAGTCAATTCAATCAACATCACAATTCCAGCTGGGACGCTGAACGGGATGGCAACCTTGAATGATTCATCGTTGGCTATTTCGGACTCGTCCTTGGGCCTTATTTGGCGTGTGGACATTGAGCGGGGCATTTATGACATTATGATAAGGGATAATACAACAGCCACAAGCACAGCCTTAGGACCAAGACTTGGGGTCAATGGTCTTAGGGTCTTGGACGGTTATCTTTACTACGTGAACTCGCCACAAAGATCGTTCTACCGTGTTCGTTTAGATGAGTCTGGCAGAATCAATGGACAGCCCGAGACTGTTGCGCAAGGAGTGTTGGCTGATGATTTTGCTGTAACGTCTTCGGGGGCCTATCTTGCTGGATTGACGGATAATGTTATAACGAACGTATCCCCTAATGGCAAAGCGCATGTCGTGGCAGGGGGTAGAAACTCGACGGCAGTGATGACTGCGACATCTGCGGCAGTTGGGAGGACTAAGCTGGATGGCAATGTGCTCTATATCACGACAGGTGGGGAGACACTGGAGCCTGTCAATAACACTGATCATAAGGGGGGCAAGGTTGTCGCGCTCAAACTTGATGTCTAGAGGCTGTGCTGTATGTGGCACAACTGGTAATTGGTTAGGTTAGGCTGCATGGGATAAATGGGCACCTCTGGCTGATCGTCTGCATGTTAGAAGGCAAGACTTCTCTTTATTTATGTACCTACTACACCCCATGATGAGATATAGAGTATATGAAGTATGTTGACTTCTTTCTGGGGTAGTTGCACATCATGAATATAATTCTCGCACAATCCGTTCTCAGGGTACTATGGAGTACGCAGGTTAGAACCAATGCTTAAAGAAAGTAAAGTATGGACGGGATTCACTCCAGAAAATGTGTTTGGAAAGATTGTGCATGCAGTTAACCTCTTTCATTCCATGTAAATACCATATCTTAGGGCTTGTAGTTCCAAGGCTAGAACTAATATTGAACGTGGAAATAAGTCAAACAGAAGTGGAACTACTGTGCCAAGACAATTCCACCCCAAGCGATTTTCTACCCTCCGTTCATCGCCGAGCTGTATCTCTCATCATTTTCGTGACCCATTTAATGTCACCATAACCTCGCACGTTTTGTTCCATAAAAGTCGTTGTCTTTATCGTCGATGATAAAAGCATGGACTATGAAGCGCGTATGGCGCAACTATCCAAAAGCAATACGCTCCCAAACTCACACAGGACGATGGAACCGACCGGGCTGTTCTCACTATCACATCCTTTCCAATCAGAACTATTCCAATCGGAACTCCAACAGTGTCTCTGGAAAGAGAATTTATATTACTCAGTATAAATCAAAAGATAAGACGCTGTTGTATAAATTCCAACGGCCGCGCAACTTTGCCACTGCAGCTATTCCATCTCTGCTTGTGCCGCCTCTAATCTTCGTCGGACTCCTGCTCGCTCTCTGGACGTGGAAATGCTTCTGGATCGTTGTATTGCAAGACAAACTTCTATACCTGTCATGGTTGCCGCCGCTTGCACGGTCCGAGAAAATCGCGGACTACGAGACTGAATGTAAGCCGGTCCAGTGGACGGAGAAGCAGATCCGGAGTCTGGATGGGACTAAGCTGGCGGTATGTGAAGGTCGCATCCCAGTCCACAGCCGTAGTAATCTCATTGCGTCCGCGACCTCTGGAGAAAGCGACCCCCAAAGTACGAAAGCGAAGAAAAGAAAGTCAGTCGTCATATGTTATTTCCAGGGTAATGGCGGTTCAACCCCCCTTCGTTTGCCGCTTCTTTCTCAAGTTCTGCGAACAATCAAAGAAAAGTCGAAGTCTACGCCATTATTTACATCTCCATCAGATAGCACTGAGTTCACCATAGTAGCCTTATCATATCGCGGCTACTGGACTTCCTCGGGCCGTGCAACGCAGTCTGGTATTGAGCTTGACGCGCAAGCGTTCCTCAACTGGGTATCGGAAACCTATACTGCACCAGACACCGATTTGGAGGTCATCCTCTGGGGGCATAGTCTCGGCTCAGCTATCGCGAGTAGTGCTACTGCTACTTACCTCTCCCGTCACGATGGCGACCAGTCATCTGTAAATGAGACGGGAGTCCCTCGCCCAGTACACATCGCTGGACTGATCCTAGAAGCACCGTCCTCCAGTATCAAGGACATGCTTATAAGTCTATACCCACAGAAATGGCTCCCGTATAGATATCTGTGGCCCTTTTCGTGGAATCACTGGAGTTGTACCACGGCAATGGAGAGGATTGCTCGCTGGCGGGACCAGAATGAGGAGCAAAGCGATGCTATCCCCCAGGGGGCTAGGACAGGAACCCCGATGCTGCCCAGACCTGGGCAGAGCTGTATAAGTTCCGAGTCCTTTCGCTCGCCTCCTCCTATTCTCCTACTTTCCGCAGAGAGTGACGAGGTGATCCCGCCACATGTAGCGGATGGATTAGAATCAGATGGGGAAAGACTTGGATTAAAACTCAAGAGGAAAGATGTACGTGGGGCGTTGCATACAGAGGCACCTGTCAAGGTGGATGGTAGGGAAGCGTTGGTTAATTTCATCTTTCACTGTACCTCACCAAGGGCAGAGGTAGCTTGACAGCTCGCTGCATCATAGCGCGTTCTTCATATTCATATCAAGAAGAAAATGAAAGAAAATGAAGGAAAATGATACCGCGATACAAGGTGCCTTGTGAATATGAAATAGTGGCCTATGTTTATTCATAAAGTTCCTGTGGGACTGTCCTGCGGTTGTTACGTTTCGCAGCTGTATTTTCTCTTCCATAACCATTAATAAAATGACCATGCTGGCATATCATCATTGAAGGGTTACTCCTCAACGCTTCGTATAGCAACACCACGTATACTCGGAGCGACCATCGCTGCTGAAAACTTGCTCAAACCCTCCTGCATTTTAGCCCCCAGTGCCACAACCGTCAATGAATTGTGCGGCTGATGATCGATCCGTATACCATCATTCTCACCCTTGAAATCAATACGCGATCGGCTGTTCTGGTGTAGCTCGAGCACAGTCATAAGCTGGTCGAGAAGGGCTAGGACTGACGACAGCAGAGTAATGCAAGGCTGCTCCGCTACATACTTTGCATATTCCGACACAGTCATTCCGGTAGATGATTCCTGAGGTGCCGTGGTTGTATCCTCCTTCGAAGCAAAAGTAATCCTTGCGTGGAGACGGGTTAGCCGGTTTTTCGTTCCAGTCATCTTCCCAACCAACTGGCCTATATCATCAGGCTTAGTATTTCCCTGCGATTCAATAATAGCGCGCGTAGCTGCGTAGTAACCTGGGCATCTAACAGTCTCGTTAAAGATGAACTCCGTAGCCTGACTGACAAGGTCATATTCATTCCTCTCAGTTTCTGTACCGGAACTCTCACTGACTATCAATGACCATTCTGGTTTCTCCAAAAAGCATGATTCCCCTTGCCTAAAAGCCTCTGTGACCAAAAAATTTCGAAAGGACAGCATTAGCGTCCGACCTACGCCATGCTTATGCGCAGCAGGTCCGCGGGCACACATAAGGTGACGGATGCCGCCGCAGTGGAGTACCCAAGAATTCTTGCAGCTTTCATCCAACATCTCATACCCGCCAAGCAAAATCGCTGCCGCTAGCGTCTCATCGGTGAGCGCAGCGGGAGTCTGCAGGATATACGCAAGATGCTTTATTCCTCGGCCATACATATGTCGGCCGCAGGCGATAGCTCCTTGATCACCTCGCACAACTCCCATATGGAAGGTATTCAGTGCTCTGATAGCCCAAATCAACGCTTGTGGACAGGTAAGTCCCTGCTGGCGTATAAAGTCCATCCAATTTACCTCTAGTCGGGAGGACCATGTAGAATACGCCGGAAAGTAATAATCAAGAAAGTCGTTGAACAGCTCCTTTGCTTGGATGTCCAGCGCTGCAAAGGTCAGACCGGGAGCAAAGACCTCGTCGATGATGAGCTCGGATAGTTCTGTTGGCCGGGTCTGTTGCTGCCTTTGCACTCTCGGAGGGGTTCGACAGGGGCGCAACAAAGGCTCTCGTCGGTATCGCTGCTGCAGCGCTTGTGTCTGGTCGCGAAATTTGAAGTGACGATTATAGCCCGGACATTCACAACCTCTCTTGATGCATCGCAGACATTGAGGACGAGTCTCATCGCACTACAAGGCCAGCTTAGTCCACGTACCCCGTACGGAGCTGTTTATCCTCTTTTTACATCATCGGGATGGAACAGATTACTCCATTCTAAAAATGAATATTTCAGCAAATACGAACCTTGATTCTGCGATTCACGCACATGCGACATCCTTTGCTGTTCGAAACCCCTACCATGATGGTTCAGGTAACCAGGACTGGCGAGTGTGGCTGGCAGGTACAATGGCACAGTACAACAAGAGTGGACAATTGAGGAGTGAGCGTGCAGTAACACAGTCTGAGTGCGCAAGGAAGGAAGAAGAAGAAGAAGAAGTAGTAGTAGTAGTAGTAGTAGTAGTAGTAGTAGTAGTAGTAGTAGTAATAGTAGTAGTAGTTGGTAGTTCCATGGGCGAGGGACCCTCTTTGTTTTCATCCATTGAGACTAGTCCCCCCGTGACCTTGGGGCTGCGATTCTTTTGTGTCTGTGTAACATAAGCTTCACCGAGCTCGCCCGCCCATTGACTTTGCTTATTTTACCGTGTATATTGATGATCTTTTCTTCTTATTTTTTTTTTTCCGTTTCGAAATACCCAACAGATGTTTACTCCACACGGTGGATCATGAATGGAAACTAGTGGCCTAAACCCAACCTTAACTGACGATATTAAGCTGGCTAGGTTTAAGTGGGGCTCATTGCCCAGCGCGAGAATTCCGTTGGCGCATCACGGACGCACCTCCAATGATTTTCACAACATATATCTACCTACTACTATTCCATATAACCGGTGAGGTAACTGCATCACAAATAACTCATTCAAGTATGTTGGTATTTGACCTCATTGTGCAACTCTGCGTAACACGGAGCCGGAAAGCTCTAGCCCGAGGGCAGCAACTTGCAAAGGTAAAAGGGCGCTTTATGTTGTTCGGATGTTCGGACTTGATGAACAAGGTAATTTGGAAAGTTGCCAGTGGTCTAGGGTTATGATAAATCTGAGATTTTGTTATTTCGCCACACTTTAGAAAAAGACCAAACTTGCAAGCAATCGGGAGGTTTTTATGCACGTCAACAAAGAGCTTATACTAAGTGGTAGGTCAAGTGGGAGAGTGAATATATATTTTCCTAATCACCATTGAAGTTCAACACTGTAGGGCGTGTGATAACGGACATGACAGATAATTTATTACTATATTAGATGTAGATATGTTAACAACTGTCTTACAATAGTAATCTAATATTTGAACTTGATGAATTCATCTGAAACTGATGTAGTGAACTCACAACACTGTGCATAACTGGTTGATATATTAGTAAGCAGGATTATGCGCTAACTAACCAGTTAACACTAGCTTTTAAATGTAACCCACTTGATCACGTGGCGGGCGTTTCACCTAATCTGGTAGCCGGATTAAAGATTGCTGATGAATTACATCTGTCTATGCTTCTGCCAACAGGATGCCACGAGTGATAAATCATCCAGTTAAAGCTGCGTGTCTTGCCTGGTATAATTCTGCAATGTCTTCTGCATGTTGATAGCCGTGTGCTGACTAGAGTGCAGTCGTGCATCAAAAACACGTTGCGACGGTCAGCATCCTTGTAAACCTGTAGGGTCACTTGATCCTAAGCTCGCATGAGAGATTCAGATCGCTGATACTAGCTGTCATCACAGTGTTTTGAAAGAAACCGTGGTTGCTTTTACCGTCCCAGTCGGCGTGGGGGACCGCGGCGAAGCACTAAAAATGACAAGGAGGTGCAACGCATGAGCGTACCTCGCTCTTCGATATCTTCGTCACATCCATCGACTTCCGACACCGTAGTCGATATCCCTCAGTGTTCAAATGTTCCAGGTACGGGGGACACGAGTTCTGGTCAGGAGACCGACCCCAGTCTTCGGCATATCATTGGTCTCCTGACCCCTTTCAGTGGAGAGCAGAGCCTCAGTGTGGACCCAGGTTTGCTTTGGGGTCCTCAGGATACAGAACCACCTAGCGAGATAGAAAACCCCGTTTTGAGGGTTTATAACTCCGAAGAAGATATGTAAGTCCGCGATGAAGAATGCTGGGTCGAATATCTTTGACAAATTTGGCGTGCATCTAACAGGAGTTAGAGCAAACGCGTATTATATCTACATTCATCCATATTTAGCACTGTTACCAGCTCCAGTAAGTCCACAGTATGAGGATAGACCGAGAGTCTTTCAGCCCCCGGCTGCAGAGGCTGGCACGGTGGACCAGTCCTGCTTGCCTTATTGGCCGACGACTTCGTTGAGTTTAGCATTATCGGCGATACTCTCCTTGATTCCACCTCCTCAGGACCCACAGCCGTCAGGGGAATGCCATGTTTGGATGCGACGCGCATATGCACGTCTCTATGCGCAAGCCGCCCTCATTAGGGCAGAGAAGGAGATTGACGACCTTGTGTCCCCAAACAACCCAACTTCCTATGCGGAAGACGATCGCCTTCATGTTGAACTCCCGTTCCAGCTTTATCCAGTTTTGGCTCTAGTTGCCCTTAGTATCTATGAGTATTGCCAATGTGGCAATGTATCCCGGATGCGCACACGCGCGAACCAGGCTATTACAACGGCTATGGATCTTGGCTTCCATAACTTGGACTCGAATGCTTCAGAGGCACACCGACGAGCATGGTGGTCCGCGGTTGGTGTTTCCAGATCTCAATAATGTGGGCAGTGGTCACTTACTCATCACAGATTTCCATACTATATCATACTTCAGTCGTGCAAGTATCAGTGAGTGCCCAGAGCCTGAACAAGCTTTCTCACAATAACCTAATCAATAATTTACTATCAGTCACCTATCATCACTGCAAATGATTCTAGGATAACTACTCCACATCCCGAATTTAAAACCTTTCTGGATGGTCTAGAGGTAAGAATTGTGTCCACTACGCCGGTTTCGGTTGATCTATGGTAGCTAACGCGCCTATCAGCCATGGCCGGTTTTGCTTAAAGCTCAAGAAGCTTACATCTCTGTCTCCGACGTTCTTGGCGCCTTAGGCCTAGTGCACAAAGCTCCCACACAGTCACTTGACTTGCGTGAGCAGATCTATCAGCTCGACTCACGTATAGCGTCTCTGGCGACAGAGTCCGAATTCTACATGGGCCTAACATGCAAGGACGATGCCGAAGGCCTTGCCATGCAGGGTATGGGGCTGATAGCATATCTCTTGCTCCATTCGTGAGTCACTCCCGTATATGCTTACGCTACTTGGAACTCTGACCTTGCTTTGTTCCTCATAGGGCACGGATTAGACTCCATCGGTTTAGAGCGTTCATGGACATCCCGCTTTTTGTTGAAAAGCATTGTGACCTGACTGCTATCAATGACAAAGCCCCATATCCGGAAGTATCCTCCAATTTCGAGGCTGTATTCCCATTTACCGAGCAACAATCCTCTGTCAGGTGCTTGAAGTCATCCCTTGCTGTGGCTCGAGCTTTCAAAAACCTTCCCCGTCCACAACCATCCCGGTCGACCGGGAACCCAGGAAACAATGACGCACCAACAGCTGCTGAAAGCCTGGATATCCATTCGGCAGTATCACCTGCTCATTTGACGACGAGCCACCCGAGTGCTTTGCCGTACTTTAAGTGTACTGCTATGCAGGCGAGCTACTCAATGTTTATGTTAGTACATCGAATACGGGCAGCCATTGCTTCGAATCGTCTTTCAGTTTGCTATCCTCTGATGGCCAGTCCAGAGCCTGCCACAGAAATCCAAGACGCTAGGAGACTTATTGAAGAGCTGCGACATGCAATTGAGTGTTTAAAGCATTCTATGGAGAGGGACATGGTATTTGAGGGCATTGCTGCCATGTGCCGCGGACTTACTGCTGTCTATCTCTCGATCTTTCCAAACTGACCACTGCGAGCAAGAAGTGGCCCTTTGTGCCACACGCCAGGAAAAGGGGTAGCTATCTGTTGTGGACATTGTGGACTTCTGGAATGTAGCAGCTTCCGATGGTCCACCGTGAGGTCTTAATTTGGTGACAAGTCTGATTACCTTACTTTTTGCTATGCCGTTCTCTCAAGTATTTTAGCGTTGCCCTAGGAAGATGCTGTGATCTAATAAGTAGTCTTCCTCCAAGGAAATGATGTATTTGATGGTGGTTTTAATTCAAACGCCCTGCCACCAACTCAAGGAGAATTTCTAAAAATGACTAAGTAGGTCGAGGAGCAAGGCGAGAAGAGAAGAAAGGAAGACCACGGGGGAGAAGAGCATTCTCTTTCGGGTTCCGCGGAAACCAAACAATGCTTCGGCGTCCGAAAATAGATTAGCGTGTAGTGAAGCCTTTTGGCATGCCCTAACTTATCAAACGACTTTCAATCCTATCTATATAGAATCGAGCAATTCATCGGGGGAGTGGACAATGAATTGCGGATTTTTACGGAAAAAGAGAAAAAGGTGACATGGAAGACTGCAAACCCCAATGCAGCCCGTCGCAAACGCGCCCCAATAGCACCGTGGACAAGACTGCAATGTCTCATACAGATCGGACTGAGGAAGTCAGTGTCGTAGAATTCCCAGACGGCGGATGGCGAGCATGGAGCGTGGTTCTGGGGTCGTGGTGTGCAATGGTTCCCTCGTTCGGTCTTTTGAATACAATGGGTGTCCTGGAAGCATGGCTCGCAAATGACCAGTTGAAAGACTATTCCAAAGCTTCCATCGGTTGGATATTCGGTCTGTATTCCTTCTTCCTTTATTTCGGAAGCGTCCAAGTTGGTATGCGTGATCAAATCCTTTCATGTACCAGATACTCATGACTAACCCAAGAAAGGGCCGATCTTTGATGCTTACGGTCTCCAGCCCTTGCTTATCCCAGGATGTGTCGGACTTGTCGGCTCTCTCATGGTTTTCAGTGTAGCGAAAGGTTTGTCTAACTTGGAAAAGCATTCATTTTCTACCATACTGATGTTACTCATTTCCTTTTACTAGAATACTACCAATTCATGCTCGGATTCAGCGTCCTCGGTGGAATTTTCTCATCTATGGTCTTCACCCCCAGCATAGCCTGCATTGCGCATTGGTTCTATCGACGTCGTGCCTTAGCAACAGGGATCGCAGCCACAGCCGGTGGTTTCGGCGGCATTATCTTCCCCATCATGATATGGAACCTCAGCGAAATTGTCGGTTTTCCATGGGCGATCAGAATAACCGGTTTCATCTGCAGCTTCTTCTGCATTCTATGCATCCTATTCCTCAAGACCAGACTGCCACCTAAGAAGCTAGGCGGAGGCAAGATCGACATTAGAGCCCTGCGCGAAACCCCATTCTCCCTCCTCACGGTCGCCATATTCCTGATCGACTTCGCCCTTCTAATCCCTCTGACCTACCTGACCTCCTACGCTGAATCACACAATATGCAAGAGAGCCTAGCATACCAGTTAGTCTCAATCCTCAACGCCGCTTCGATCCTCGGACGCGTGGTCCCTGGTTACTTCGCAGACCGCTACGGTCGGTTCAATGTCATGATCATCACAACACTCGTATGCACAGTCTTCACACTGGCACTGTGGCTACCAGCTGGGTCCAATACCGCTGCAACCGTGGCATACGCTGTACTATTTGGGTTCTGGAGCGGTTCAGCGATAAGTCTTGCCCCCGTTTGTGTTGCGCAGATCTCGTCCACGGAGGATTTCGGAAAGCGATACGGGACGACGTATTCGTTGGTTAGTGTTGGTGCTTTGTTTGCTATACCTATTGCCGGTGAGATATTGAAAGCTCAGAGCTCGGGAGGAGAGGGTGAGGATTATTCGGGGCTTATACTCTTTTGTGGGTTGGTATATGCTTGTGCTTGTTTGTTTTTTGCTTTTGCGAGGGGGGTTTGTACTGGGTGGAAGCTGAAGACGATATTTTAGGGCTTGTTTTGGGTGTGTCAAGATAGATAGTGGTGTGTCGATGTCAGTGAGGATAGAGAGGTTGGTAGCGTCCGGCATCGTTAACTTTTATTTGAAATTTACGAACGCTACTGTCTGGCCGGACACGTGAGGTTGTGGACAAGATTTGCGGGGAGTTTAAATTTAGTGCCTTCCCGTTTTCTTTATCAACCCAACGTTAGCATGCCACTGACGCTTGTTAAATATATATTTGTAGGATTTGTCTTGAAGCCCTGAGACAGTATCGTTCATTACACTACCAGACGACGTATTATCAGGGCAGTGATGAGTAGACGCACAAGTCAGGCTTGTGATGCGTGTCGATATCGCAAGGTCAAGTGCAACGGAGCCCGTCCCTGTTCACAATGCGCGCACTTGAACCTCTCATGTAACTTTTCTGTTGCGCCGGTCAAACGCAGGCCCGGTGGCCGGGGTCACCTAGTGGCTCAATTGCGAACGCGACAAGTCCGCACGGGCATGGTGCATGGAGCACAGTCTCTACCTACCATTTCAAGGACCGATCTCAAGGACCGAGATACCCACTCTATTCGGCCAGCTCCAGGGGCACATATTCTCCCTGTCGGTTTCTTTCTGGAACTACTCCCCCAATTCTCGCATTTTGTCTACCCACTGAACCCGATCATATCCCCCGATGAGATACGGCAATCAATCGCCTCAATGCATATCACTGCCGATGACGAAGCTCTCGTCTATGCGTTTGCAGCAGTCACGATCAACCGGACACAGGCGTATTCAACATTGCATGGCAGCTTTGCAGGGCTGATGGCGAACTTGATCCGTCACAGCCTGAAGGCATACCGAGAAGGAGAAATTAACGGCTACGACTGGGAAGGTGGTGGCCTAGGACACTTGCCGGTAAACATCAAGCGAGTCATGACGTGCATTTTCCTCGGGATCTGCATGATACCCTTCGGGCAATTCGATCGCAGCTTTTTCATTCTCCGAGAAGCTATTACTATCATCCAAACGCGGGATGTACACCGATGGCAGGCTAATGATGATCCTGAATCCCGGCGCGAGGTGGCAAGGTGGCAAAGGGTTTACTGGGAGGCGTACATTCATGAAAGGTCTTTAGCTCTGATGCCCTCATTCCCCAGCATCCTCACAGCCCTCGAGACAGGCCTACCTATGGCTGACACCAGCATCCCAGCCCATGTGGACCTGGGGTTTCGTCGTCTGATTCACCTTTTCCTCGTCCAAGATGAAACCTTCTTTGCCCATTGGCGGGCGCAACATTCTCCCGGGCACCCTGCTCCAGACATGACTGCGGGATGGATTGAGTTTAAACAAGCGCAGCTTGACGATAACGAAGTTGGTACCGCTGAGGAGGTTGCTCTCCTTCAAGCGCAGGGACTAGGGAGTCTGACCGAGTTTCAGCAGGCCGACCTTGTCATTACAAGGATATGGTTGCGAACCTTGGTCTGGCAGCTCGCGCTTTCTCATGGTCTTCTCTGCTCTGCCCCTTCGCAAAGCCCAGAGGAGAGCCTGTCTTTTCACTTCCCCGTTGAACGCCTATCTACTGAACTAAGAAACCTGGTTGATCACCTACAGAGTGTTGCCAGCGTTGGGATTCATGGCCATGGGATCCTTCAAAAGCTCTTTGATATCGTAACCACTGTGGCGGACGTTCTAACATTGCCACTCACACCTGGCCAAGTTGAACAATCAACTGTAAAGAGGATGGATGACTTTCTTAGAATCGTGAAATTTTTGTTACGCTTTGAAGGGACCGCTACAGAACAAAGGAATTACGTTCGTGCAAGGGTAAAGGCTTTACAGGAGATTTACACCTTTGTGGACTTCGGTGAAGCGATGATGTTATAACTCATGCATGCTAGTAGATATTGCAAAATCTGTGATCATTGACAAGGGGTTGGAGTTCCATAGATTTCGCCATTTAGACCATTGTAGGTTACCTGTGCTGCCCTTGCGATTGAACTAGATACACACGACCCTCCAAGGCGGCTAACAGAGACTTGTTTATCTTGCCCTGATGTGTGGACATAATAGACACCATTTCCACCTCATTAGACACACCCAGCTCTATCGCACTAGGCAGCTCCCAAATCCTTTCCGTAGTCGAGAAGTTGAGCACCACGAGCGCCTTGGTGCTACCATGACGGCCCTCCTTGACAAAGACAAAAAGATTCTGGTCCAGGGGACTCAGGTCTTTAAATTCGCCGTATACAAACAAATCCGGATACTGCTGGCGAAAATGGATCATATGGCGCCAGAACGCAAGGACACTCTCAGGGTTATCGAGCTGAGAGGCAACGTTAATTTCGTTTGCCAAAGGATGAGGTTTCATCCACGGCTCCTTAATCTCCTTCGCATCCTTTGCAGCAACCTCAGAGAAGCCGCCATATTTGGCTTCCCCATTCCATGGCATAGGCAATCTAGCATGATCCCTAGCAAGATGTTGCAGAGCATCGAACGCCTTGTCCAATTCCTTTTTATTATCCGCACCATAGCGCTCCTTGACCATGTCAACAAAGAGATGGCTGCTGATGTCTCGATAGTTCTCGATCGGGTAGGTTTCCAAGGGAGCGTTGACGAGGCCGATTTCCTGACCTTGGTAAATATATTGCGTGCCACTCAAGCAAGCCTCTAAGAGAGCCAGCAGCTTTGCACCACTAGCACGGAACTGTGGCCGGTCGTCCGTGAAGACAGTGACGGATCGGGGTAGGTCATGGTTCTCCAGGAAAACGGTAGTCCAGCCATCAGTGTCTCGGATGAGCTCTTGCGTCCGACTAATTCCGGCCTTGAAATCAGGCAATGTGAAGCTTTTGGGTGTTGTCTCGTACTTGTGTGTTTTGCCGAAGCATACATCGATAGCATCGAACTGAAACACCATGTTTATCCTCCCGGCACTGGCGCTCACGTAGTCAAGCACACACTTCGTGTCTGGTGCATAGAGTAGCTCCCCGACAGTGATGGCGTCGTACCGTGAAAGAATGACATTCATCTCATCCAAGAACTCGTGCATTCGGGGCCCGTTACAATAAAGCGTTGCGGCAGGTTGGTAAGGAGCCTTGGGATCAGTAATCGGTGCATCCGGCATCTCAGATGGTTTACTATACATATTAACAGTATCAATGCGAAACCCATCCACGCCACGATTGAGCCAGAACTCCATAGCTGAGGCATAGATAGCCGTGCGGGTTTCAGGATTATCCCAGTTGAGATCCGGCTGCTCCGTCGCCCACACATGTAGGAAATATTCCTCTGTATTCTCGTCCCACTCCCACGCGCTACCACCACCAAAGCTGCACCGCCAGTTGTTAGGCGGTAATCGCTCGCCCGTCGGTGAATACCGGGCCGGTCTCCAAATATACCAATCACGCTTGGGGCTGTCCTTGCTTGAACGAGACTCCTTGAACCACGCGTGCTGGTCTGAGGTGTGGTTGATAACAAGATCCAGCATAATACGCATGCCACGTGTATGAGTCTCCTTTATAAGCGTCTCCATATCCTGGACTGTCCCGTACGGCGGGTAGACCTCCTCGTAATTTGAAATATCATAACCCATATCAATCTGGGGGCTTTCATACATTGGGGAAATCCAGATAACGTTGGCACCCAAGCTGGCAATATAGTCGAGCTTGGGGATAATACCAGGTAAGTCGCCAATCCCATCACCGTTGGAGTCGCAGAACGAGGCAGGGTAGATCTGGTAGATGACAGCCTCCTTCCACCACTGTTTCTCCCGAACGGTGATAGTCATGATACGAAGGAAGATACGATAAGAGAACAAGAAAAGAAGAGAAGAGAAGGAATGTGATCGGATCACAACAGGTAAGATGAGAAGGAGGAGCCAGATGAACAGAGGAGAAATAAAATGGTCCCCCCTGTGTTGCTGGACGTATATCATTTGACTTTAATATCCCACAGCACCATGGAACTAGATGTGGAGTATGGGAACTCAGCTTTGCGATTAATAATTGCCTCGTGTTGCGATGCCATCCCACAACATTCCTTTGTCTGAGCAACATGATGTATCTGCACCGCTACCTACGCTGTGGGTATCGTGAATGTGCAAGTCATATTGTAATTCGCCCATAATCGGACCGACAACTCCTCGTAGTTCCTTATTCGACTGATTTTGGGCGGAGCCCACAATCTGCTTCTCAGCAACACATCGGGTTCCCCGTCCGTGATTGTCCTCAAACCCCATGCCAGGCCAACCAGTACTCTAACCAGCATAAGAATAACTCCTATTAAGATAGATGAATAGCCCCGGATGCACGGCCGGTGTGGGGCGTGGGGACACACATTTGTGACAGTGATTGGGCCATCGTCGGACCGACTACTTTTGAGTAGTTGAACTCTAAATCTCTAAGGGTTGAGGACAAAGTCGATAGGTTCGCTGATAGCTAGAATGGGTCACCCCCTGGGGACATCTACCACCGTTTTCGTTTTGCCAATACTCTCAAGTACATCCTGTATGATGTCCCGACTATCCCCGCTTCCCCGCAATCGGCTGGTATCAGACTTTCTGTGGCGTTTGTCCTTTTGAATGAACGATATCCTTGATTCACATGGCTCCCTAAGCACTCATTCAGTAGCGGCTATAAAGATGGAGCCAGTTACTGTCCATCTACCTTATTGCTCTTGAGCCAACCAGCCGTCTTTGGATGCCTTGCTGAACAACAGGCCTTTTCTTCTCAAACGATTTTCACAGAATATAGCAGTCAGGACACCCCCCCTGATACGCCATACGACGGGATGGCCAGTGAGACCCCCTCTTCGAAGCCAGTCATGCACGCTTCAACCATGCAGGAGGCTACTGCGGCCACCAAAGCCGAGCTCAACTTGGGGCTCGTAGAGTCTTTGAAGCTGTACCGGAAGGCCTGCCTCTGGTCGATCTTTTTCTCCACTTGCGTCGTCATGGAAGGGTTTGACATGCTGCTACTAAACAGTCTCTATGCTTATCCTCCATTTCAACACCAGTTCGGCATCGAGTTGGAGGATGGTACATTCGAGCTGACAGCTGCATGGCAATCCGGTCTATCTATCGGCGCCTTTGGTGGTCAGATCATTGGGCTTTTTATCAACGGCATCATTGCTGATCGCTTTGGGTACCGCAAGACATTAATTGGCGCTCTCGTCGGCTGCTGTGGCTTTATATTTATCATCTTCTTTTCTGAAACGACTGTACAGCTCCTTATTGGCGAGCTTCTCATCGGTGTTCCATGGGGTGTTTTCCAGACAATCACAATAACCTACGCATCCGAAGTCTGTCCGACGCATCTACGTGCCTATCTAACCACATACGTTAACCTTTGCTGGGTTATCGGCCAGTTCATCGCCTCGGGCGTGCTACGTGCCATGCTTACACGGGACGACAAATGGGGCTACAAGATTCCATTTGCCCTGCAATGGATATGGCCCATCCCACTTATGGCTGGAATTTGGTTAGCCCCCGAGTCCCCATGGTGACTCGTCCGCCGTGGCCGCCTCGATGATGCAAAGAGGTCCCTCAGTCGCCTGACGACTCGAAGCTCTGAAATTCCCTTCCAACCCGACGAAACTATCTCGATGATGATATTCACCAATGAGATGGAGAAGAAGACAGAAGAAGGCACAACATACCTGGAGTTATTTAAAAGCGTCAACCTACGACGGACAGAGATTGTCTGTGTCACCTGGATGATCCAAACCTTCTGCGGAAATACCTTTAGTAGCTACTCGACGTACTTCTATGAGCAAGCTGGTCTGGCAAGTGAAAGCTCGTTTAGCATGACTCTTGGGCAGTATGCACTCGGCGCTATGGGCACCTTTCTCTCATGGTTCCTCATGCGCCAATTCGGTCGCCGGACATTATACCTCTCCGGCCAGGTGTTTATGTGCATCCTCTTGTTTATTATCGGCTGCACCTCCTTCGCGGGCCACGGCAACACCGCCGCCCAGTGGACAACCGGCTCCATGATGCTCGTTTATACGTTTACCTATAACTCCACCGTCGGGCCGCTCTGCTACTCCCTGGTATCAGAGCTTCCTTCGACGCGGTTACGTATCAAGTCAACCGTGGTGGCCCGCAACGTCTACAATGTCGCCTGCATCATAAGCAACCTGATCACACCACGCATGATCAACCCTACTGCCTGGGGCTGGGGCACCAAGTCAGGCTTCTTCTGGGCCGGTTCTTGTTTTCTCTGTGCGGTGTGGACGTACTTCAGGCTTCCCGAGCCCAAGGGTCGTACGTATGCCGAACTTGATGTCCTGTTTGAGAAACGGATCAGCGCACGCAAGTTCAAGACTACTTACATCGAGCAATTCAACACTCATGAGGATGGCGCAGAGGGTGTGATTGATGGAGTCATTGTCGGACATGTTAATTCGCAGCCCCCTGAGAAGGAGGGGAAATGCTAAGACGGGCAACGCGCGAGGCCACAGTGGTGAGGAGAAGACCCTTACTAGAGGTCTGCCAATGTCGTAGGGAGAATTCATGCTTTAATTGAATTGGCCTTACTACTCACTAGGTGAGATGAGTTTATAGTGTTCCATACATAGCAGGCCTACATATATATGTCACCAACCAAAGAAGAATTGCGACTATTCTCGTTTACCGTTTGTTCCCTCCTATAAATATAGTATTCAACTACCTGGCTCCTATCGGGACGCTAGGTCTACAACCTAACCTATCATCTTCTTAGGTGTATTAGCTATAAGAATACAACATATTCAAAGCAATATTATGTTAACCTTCCAACCAGTCTGTCTTTTAATCAACCGAATAAATCAATTAAAAATTGTATACGAACGGCTACTAAATTAGGGCCCTTAGGCACGTGCATTATGCGCATTAGCTGTTTGATACTACTCGAGATGGCTATGCTTATACCGGTTAGTTTCTTGACCCACAGATTTGTACCACTATGGAGTACGTGTAAGATAAAAGATCTGAGGAGGACTAAAAGTCATCTATCCTCTATTAGTAGTGATTTCCGCGATCTTTAAGTACTAGTTCGGAATTCCACTAGTATGAGAGATCATTAGCCTGGACCCACCTGTGATGCGCAAGGGGATGCATTTTTGATTCAACGACAGACGTAACAATCAAAGCCGTGTGTCGGGGAAGTTATATTTGTTCCCATAATAGTCACTAAGATCATGACTAAAGCGGTATCCTTCGGCCAGAGATTAAAAGGCGAGGCAGGATTCTACACAATCGCGAAACAGTTACAAGATAATGTGTGGCTAGCATTGTAATCCTGCCTATCTTCTTCGACTCACAATCGACGAAGTCTAACAGATTCATCATTACGGATCCCAAAGCAAAGAGACCGTTGTGGTTAAAAGTATCCGACACTTCCGTCTCCAAAACGAACGAGATTTCCTCCTTCGTTTCCAAAACAGCGCCCCTTATTTCCGCAGGTTTCTCGATGAGATTGAGGATCCTCCAGGACAACCTGCGCTTATCTTAAGACATCTGGATAATGACCTTCTGCAAGAATCTAACCATCGAACACTTACAAGAGCCGAAGTCAAATACGTCGCCAAGAGAGTGTTAAGTGCGTTGGGTGTTTTGCATAGAGATGGTTATGTTCATACTGTTCAGTTCCTTGACTAGCAGATTTGAATCTGGGGTAACTGATGAAAACGACAGATATAAAACCTAGTATTGTATTGATAAATTATGGACAGAATAAGACCCGTTTCAGCGATATCCAAATGGCCGACTTCGGGAGCATGGCTCATCAAAACTTCCGCTACGCCCAGGATAGAGATCCTACTGGAACACCTATTTTCCCGAGTCCAGAGGCACAGCTACAGATGAGGTGGGGGACTGCAACGGACATCTGGTCTTTTGGGGCAATGGCAAGTCTGTGAAGTTTGATATAGCGCGTCCAGAGACTAATATCCTTGCAAACACAGCTTATCAGTCTTATTTAAGGGCAAGGATTCCATATCTTCAAACCTAATCTCCCGGTTGATAGCGACGAGTGTGATCTCAAAATACTCATGAAACATCACCAGTGCTTCGGGTCATTTCCTGCCTCGTATGATGAGATTGCCGATCAAGACAGACTTGCTGTGCTTGTATGGATAATGCAGAATACTCCGCTAGAGACACCACGGCCCTTTCATCTCATAACTTCTCGGGAGATTAGCCAGCAAGATATGGAGTTCGTGTTTAAGATCAGGAAGCTTGATCACAGGGATAGACCAACTGCAGACTCTCTTTTTGGGGATGGCTGGCTCTTGGCCGAGTGATGTCGTTAATATAGACAGTGTAAGCGATTCTTCTGGAATGTTATCATGGACCTGTTGTTTTCTGACTTTAATATGATTTTCATAGAATGCAAAAATTGTATGAGCCGCACATTAATAATAGGGTTTTTATACACCGTTTCCCGTGAACTGGAATACAGGCCAAGAAATAGGATGGACACAACTGTAAATACGATGGTCAGAGGTGTAGTTATATTTTTCTTTAAAACGAGTAGAAACTGGCATATAGTATCTTGATACAACAATGATATAAATTTGGACTGGCAATATCCACGATTAGTGACCGCGAATGTCAAATAGCTGAGATCACAAGTAAGGACCCTTGTACTAGTCACCCCATTCGGATAGGTGAGTACTCAGTGAGACTGTTTCTCCAGCTCCAAAAAAGCATAAGCCGAGTCGACAACACTCTCCTCAAGACCACGATAACGAAGTCCAAGTATTCTCTGGGACTTCCCGGCGTCAGGTGTATACAATTCAGCGCCTCCGAACCCCGAGCCAGGCCTTCTGAGAGGTACACGATTCTTCACTTCAGGGACCTTCTCCCGCAAAATATCTGCAATTTGCTGATAGCTGTAATTTCCAGCACAGATAAAGAAACGCTCGCCGCCAGCCTCTGAAATTTCGTACGCTCTCAAATGGGCCTGCGCAACATCTCTTACATCGACCCAAGACCAGAACCCATTGTCAGGTATGGGATCACTTGGCTTCGCATCCGGAGACATCAACCGGTATACGTCAGCCGAGGTGATGTTCAATTGCGAAACATGGGTAGCGTTGATATTAGGACCGTAAATCATAGGCGGCAGAATGGTCACGAGATCAAAGGAAGTATTCTCATCTCTGACAAAGTCCCATGCAGCACGCTCTGCCACTTTCTTTGCGGCAAGGTACGCTTCCACACTCGATGTGCCTTCGCTCACAGCCTGTTCATAGGTCATGGGGTTCCAGTCGCTTTCGGAGTACACATGACCGGGCCAGGCACCTTTGGACATGTCGATCATGGAAGCGAAGGAAGAGGTGATGACTATACGTTTGACTTGATGTGCGTGCTTATGAGCGGACTTGAGGATGTTGATAGTTCCGTTGATAGCAGGCTGCACAATATCCTGCTCATTATTGTCTGTTTCAATCGCGCCTGGACAAGCCGTATGCATAATCCCATCGACATCTTTGACTGCTTCATCGAAGGCACCGTCCTTGACAATGTCAGGGACAATGGCAAAGCTTAGTTGTCGGTCATATAGTGGAAATGTACGCTTGACCTTCTCTGCTGTAGCTTCAGAGCGAACTGAGCCTCGGACATGATAACCTGCGGAGATAAAAGCTTCAATGATATGAGCGGCTACGAAGCCAGAAGCTCCTGTCACAAGGATGGTTTTGGGTGACTGCATCCTATTGAATCGATTAATCTTGGTGTGTTGTTCTACTCTTCGACTCGTATTGAGGATGTTAGACCTTTTATATCTGTTTAGAGCTGAAAGACTTGGTACTAGCATGTGGTTGCTTATCTCCATATTTCAAATAAACAACTCTCGCTTATAAACCAAACCCCGATATCTTGCATGACTTGACTGGAGCCATATCACCCTTAAAAGGATTGCCAAGGCTGCAAATTCAGGAAAGAAACGGACTTAAGGCTTCGTGTTTCAGAAGCTCCAACGGCATAAAATCGCTCCATCTCGAGCCAAGAGGCTTAACAGCGGATTCAATGGCCCACGCCCACAAAGGCTCAGCGAAGCTGTCAACTAATAGCACACTAATACACTGCACCATTGCATCATACGAATTGGCTTACGCCATATGAGCTCCAAAGACTTAACCTGAACATATCATAGCTGCTGTTATAGCTAAAGTCATACAAATGGAACGATTACGATTAACGGTAACGTTTTAAGGTTAGTTAACCTCACCCTGACGCAGCCTTAGGGCCCCGGATAGAACACTTTCCGGGTTCCGATCTTGGTTGAAGATTCCCGAAACGGAGTTAATCGTAAACTCCGATCAGAGTCTATAGAAGACAGTGGATATGTTATTATGTACTCTTAATGGCCCATGGTTTCCTGTGAGACTAGTCGTCATACATCACTCATATCCTGGCTAGTAGCAGATGTCACTCGCACTCCTTTCATAAGACTTTGGGCCACCTGTAGGTCTCCGCTTGCCATCAGCTCTTGAATCCAGAACACAGCAGTGGAGTTGTTGACATCTCCCAGGCCCTCAATATTATAGCCTTGCTTTAAAGCGCAGTCATAACAAAAAATGTCGAAGTCAATATGAATAGAATTGTAGGAAGGGTAATTCAGCCGCACCGCACATGTTGGCCATAATAATGGTTTGGATACCACGAATTGAGGGTTAACGGTGTAGTCGAAGGGGTTCACACGTCAGGTATCGTCTCTCTTGAGGTCGAAGAATGGGTTTGAAGTGCAAAAAGGAATGGTCCCGGAGAGGCTCGAACTCTCGACTTCTGAGTTATTAGCTCAGCACTCTAACCGACTGAGTTACGGGACCAATTGTGTCTGGAAGGTCGAGAACGGCGCCCGGTCCTGCGATTATAAGCTAGGTCTCCAACGAAAGGGTCCAGCACTTTGGTGCCAAGCAAGAGCTCTACGAGTAACCCTAACTTGGTTCAACTTATGTGTTGTACACCCAGAGAAGCGGTATACCTCGATTTGATTCTCCAAAGTAGAAAGATATGGCATTTACGCTCTTGTTGGATATACCAGTGGGAGCCTTTGCGACGAGAAATTCTTTCGAAGATAAGATTGTCTCAAATGCACTAAAGAGTTCCTCAGGACTCCTGAATCATGGGTCCACGGCATAGATGATTGGAGATTGAGGCGGATATACGTCCCTAGAATTCTGATTGCTCAGCAAGGTCGTCACAGTTAGCCCCTGGGCTATTAATCGCACTATGAACTTTCGTCAAACTTCTGCGCTTTTACACCAGTTACGAACTCTACTGAGCGCTTGTATGAAGAATTTCGGTGGGCGGTGACGGCCATCGACTTAGCGTCATTCATTCGCCATATGAAGCTTACAACCATTTATATGGGCGCTGTCTCTTTGATTTTATGTCTGGTGGGGATGTCAAGTGGGTTCTTCTATAATGGTAGAGGTGGGGAGTTATCTGAAGGAGCGTGAATCTTGATCTACAATCCCGAAAAGGCAAATTCCCGATGCGCGGATCTGTTTTCCCTCCAATCGGCAGGCCCCATACTAGAAACATCCTGCAGAACATGAGTTCATGTTTATACTCCATAATGTCTCCGCACCTCTCGGTGTGGGGTGGGGGCATTTTGAGTTGCTATAAGTCAAACCACCGTAACATGTTTCCCCAGCGTATTTCCAAGCCAGGGTTCCGCACAACGCCATACCAAAATGGTACCCAAGATCTTTTCTCTGGCTTTGCTGCCAGTTGCGCTGGGGTATCCGCACCTCCAGCCACGGTTGGATAATGGGGTCGCCCGGACGCCTCAGATGGGGTAAGAATTGGTGAACTCTATGCCCAGAGTCAAGCTGACAATGCAGATGGAACACCTACAATCACTACTCATGTTCCCCAAATGAGACTATCGTGCGCTCCAACGCCCAAGCCTTGGTGGATTTAGGATTGGCCTCCCTAGGGTATCGGTACGTCACGACCGACTGTGGCTGGACCGTTGCGGATCGACTACCTGATGGATCCTTGACATGGAATGAGACCTTGTTCCCAGAAGGCTTCCCCGCGCTTGGGAAGTACCTTCATGACCTCGGCCTTTTATTCGGTGTCTATCAGGACTCGGGGATCAAGCTGTGCGGCAGCCCTCCCGATAATGTCGGCAGTTTATGTATGTGGTTCTCAAGGAGCCGAATCATCAAGTACTGATAATTTTCTGATAGACCACGAAGAGCAAGACGCCAAGACCTTTGCATCTTGGGAAGTTGACTCACTAAAGTGTACGCTGCCTTTTCTATCTTCAGTCCTTCAACTACTAATGTATTATGATTATAGATGATAACTGTTATTCCGATGCCGCAACGGGCTATCCAAACGTCAACTACGAACCAAGCACATCACCGCAGCCGCGATTCGCAAACATGTCGCGCGCCTTAGCAGCGCAGAACCGCTCCATGGTGTTCCAAATCTGCGAATGGGGGATTGATTTCCCAGCACAATGGGCACCCGCGCTAGGTCACTCGTGGCGAATCGGTAATGATATCATCCCCCACTGGAGGGCGATCTACCGAACCTTGAACCAAGCTGTTCCTCAAACCAGCTTTGCAGGACCTGGACAATGGCCGGATTTGGACATGCTTTATGTGGGCAACGATATACTCTCTATTCCAGAAGAACAAACCCATTTCTCTCTCTGGGCCATTCTCAAGAGTCCCTTGACTATCGGGGCTGTGTTGAAGGATGATCAGACTTCCATAAATGACGAGTCCTTGCAGATATTGAAACAGGAAGATGTTATTGGTTACAATCAGGATTCACTGGGTGTGAGTGCTAGTCTCCGGCGACGCTGGACAGAGGAAGGCTATGAAGTCTGGAGTGGACCCTTGTCTGGTGGCCGTACTGTGGCGGCTTTGATCAATTGGAAGGACGAATCCAGGGATCTTACTCTGGACCTCCATGATATTGGATTACAGTTTGCCGGCACAGTTAAGAATATTTGGGATGGTTCTACCGCTCAAAATGTGAAGACATCCTACACAGCAAATGTCCAGGGACATGGGACGATTCTCCTCGAACTTCAGGATACTACAGCTTCTGGTCACTATCCGGCTGACACATTTGCGACATCAACTGGGTGAGTGATTGCTCAAGTGTCTTGTTTCCACTGCTAATCCAACACTGCCATTAGTTCTTCAACCACGTTTGAACAGATCTACGGAGTCACCACAAGTACCAGGTATAACATCACAGTGAAATTGTCCGAAGGGGCTTCCTCCGAAGACGTAAAAATACAATCGACGGCAAGTAATAAGACTATTACAGCACAGGTCTCAGCATCAGGCACAGAAGCATCTGCACAAATACCCCTGGTAGCCGGATCATCGAACTCCATTACAATTACGTCCTCACAGTCCGTCGACTCAATCATAGTGGCCCCTCCCAACGGCACATACTACCCGAATACGGCCTTCACCACAACCGGAAATGCGGAAGCTGTCTCCTGCGGTGCAGGATATTGCCAGCCAGTTGGCTCTAAGATAGGGAACATCAGTGCGAACAGTACAGCTCGGGCTGTGATCCCCGCTACGGCCGGAACGAAGTATCTGGCGATCGACTACATCAATAATGAGGTTGCATTCGACTCGGCTTGGGATTGGGGATCCAACTCTAGGAACCTGACTGTGAGCGTTAATGGCAATAAGCCAGTCAGACTTGATGTTCCTTTGAGTGGCCAGCACAGTGAGTTGTTTGGGCCTGGAAAAGGGTGGTGGGATGCTGCGACCCTAGGAGTATTGACTGAGGGGTGGAAGGATGGAGACAATGACGTTGTCATTGGAAACGAGGGTGGTGACAACGGATTCACGTCGTATGGACCTGATTTTGTTGGCTTGAGGGTGCTATAGTTAGAAGGGGATATATCCCTTCTCCAGTAGTAACTCAGAGGCCGTATTTCACCTCAAACATCATTGTTAGACTTACCAGACCTCGTACCGAACATATAAACGATCTAGCTTTGCTAAGCACCCTCAAGATTGGATTGATAGAAAGATAGGGCAAGTCTAAAGTTTCTTGTCACGAGAAGTTGTCATAGATCTTACAAGTCGCTTGTGAAGATATAGTTCCTGCTTTCTTGAGACATCTGCCCAACTTCACCCCTGAATTAACGCTTCAAATCCCTGAAGCAAGTCCCTCTTCAAATCCTCCAAATACTCCACCCCAATACTAACCCTAAGAAGGGTCGGCTTCGCAGACGCATCCACCAGCCTCCTCCATTCAATCTGACTCTCCACACCCCCAAGACTAGTGGCATGTTGAAACAAACGCAGCAAGCCGGTCAATCTACGGCTCATATCCTCTGTCCTCATCTCAATAGCAAACACCGGCCCGAACCCATGCGGCATCTGTTCCCGCAACCAATCCATATCCCCTACCTGAAGACTCGCATGTCTCACAGCAGCGACAGTCTTCTTAACCATATTATTAAACTTGCTCTTCAAACACTCATCAAGCCAGCGAACTAAACCGGTCGCATTCTCACTCTGTCGCTGTACTCTCAATTCCAACGTGCGAAGACTCCGCAATCCAAGCCAAACCTCCATACTACCGAGCACACTACCGAGAATAGTCCGCTGCTCATGTAGAGTCTTGAACCAGGCATCTTCTCTCAATGGCAGAATCGACAACGTCCCACAGAGAAGGTCATGATGACCACCGAAATACTTCGTCCCACTGTGCATGATGATGTCTGCACCCAGCGCAAACGGATCCTGGAGACCTGGTGGTCCAAACGTTGA